CCACTTCTATCCATCATGATCTGGAGGTCCTGCTAAAGCAATATGTACTGGACAATGAAGAAAACTAGAAGGCGTCACTTGGAAGGTCAGAAGAAACATTTGCAGGTGATGTGTACATGGAAAAATAAGGTATCTACCAAAATACTACTAGAACTAATTATTTAGCAATGAGCTATTGGAAATTGGAATTTTAAAGAAATACCATTTTCAGTAGAATCAAAAATATGTATACTTAGTGGTAAATCTGAAAAAAAAATAATGCAGAACCTGTACACAGAAAACTACAAAACAAAGACTAGAATAGAGAATAAAAAGATATACCAAGATCACAGGTTGGAAGACACAATACTGTTCAAATGTCGGTTCTCCCAGAACTGACCAGTGGATATAATACAAGTAAAACCCCACAGACTTTGAGAGACAGAATAGCAGGCTGATTCTAAAACCTATATGGAAATGGACAAGAATAGCCTAAGCAATCTTGAACAAAGTACTTAAGAGTTTCTGATTTGGGACCTTACAATGAAGCTAATCTTGATACTGTATAAGTGGCATGAAGATAGAGACGTAGACTGATGATACAGAAAAGAGAACCCAGAAATGGACAAAAAATTACGGGCATTTGAATGAGTGAGAGTCCATTGCTCCACATCCTTGTCATCATTTTGTGTTGCTAGTGTTTTGGATTTTAGCCATTTTAGTGAGTGTGTGGTGGTATCTCATTCTAATTTGCATGTAAATATCCAATTGCTCCAGTACCATTTGTTGAAAAGATGATCTTCCCTTTGAATAACCTAGGTGCCTCTATTGAAAATCAGTTGGCCATAATTATGTAGATTTATTTCTGCCCTGTATTCTTTATGCAATACTACATTGTCTTGATAACTGCGGTTTTATACTAATGTTGGAAGGTAGCATAATTCCTTTAAGTATATTCTTTCCATTTTGTTTTTGCCATTTCCAGTTTTTTTTTTTTTCTCATGACAGTTTTATGACCAGGTGGTCAACTTCTTTTAAAAACCTGCTGGGGTTTTAACAGGAATTGCTCTGGATCTACACATCAATTACCATCTTAACACTTTGAGTCCTTTGATTCAAAAGCATGGTATATTTCTCCATTTGTTTAGGATTTTTATTTTTTTTTGTCAGCAATGTTTTATAGTTTTCAGTGTTCAGATTTTGCACTTATTTTGCTAAATTTATTTCTAAGTATTCTTGATGATATTGTAAGTGGAACTGTTTTCTCGATTTTGTTTTCAGATGTTTAATTTCTAGACTATAATTAACTTGATTTTTAAAAATATGTTGTATCCTCTGACATTGGTAAACTCAGTAGTCCTAGATCTTTTGTATATTCTGTAATATTTCCTAGGAGACCTTATGGGTAAATGAAATGTATGATCCTGGATTGGATCTTACAGAAAAAAAGGACATTAGTAGAAAAATGGGTAAATTCTATTGAAGTCTATAGTTAGCATTGTATTGCTGCAGTATGGTTATGTCAGATATTGACGTTGGGTGAAATTGATTAAAGAGTATTGAGAACTCTACTAGTATTTCAGTTTTGGATAAGTTGATAATTTGAAGAATTTCAAAAAAATTACAACACAAAGAGTGAAATAATATAAACTATAAACTTTAATGTGTAAATATTCTTTCATTAAGTACAACAAATACACCCCACTAAAGCAATATGTTAGTAATAAGGGAAACCGTGTGGAAGAGGGTATATGGGACTTAGTACTATGTGCTCAATTTTTCTGTAAGTCTAAAACTGTGAAGTCTGTTCATTAAAAAAAGTTAAAGGAATGTGAGAGGATAATTATAATATGCTATCTTTGTAATTTGAGAAAGAGAAGAATTCATTGAAATTACTACAAATTTTAAGTTCCGTCTTTGAAACACTGTATCTCTAGGAGTCAGGCTTGCCCAGGAAATCAAAGGGGAAATGCAGTTCTTAGAAAGGTATGCTTCCTTCTTACAATCAGCACCGAAGCCTTGGACGATGGAAAATAGGCTTGAAGAAGATAGAACAAAGGAGTGCTGCTTGGGAGAAAGGCTGCGATCTTAGAAGGAGGACTTGCCAGATTTCAAATAGAAAATGGGGCTTTGAAGGCCAGGGTAGGCTGATTCAAGTGGGCAGCTGAGTTCCATGGGAGACAAAATTGCTTTGAACAGAGAGACTAGAGAAACACACATCTTCAGTCAACCCAGGAGAAGGTGGGGTGTGGCTCCTAGGCGGTGGGTAGTGGGAGGCGGGAGAAGCTGCCCAGCGCAGCAGGACCCCCAGCAATGGGGAGGCAGGCTGGGTCAGGGAGAGACGGCTGGTAAGTGATTCTGTAGGGGGACACAGCTGATGGGTGTTAGCAGCAGTGGCATCTGATGTTTGTTTCGAAGCAATTTCCTCTTCTGTAGTCCAGTCACTCTTCATTCCCCAAATCTTGACTAAGCGCTAATGGTACCCAGTGCCCTGGTACAGAGAAGGAAGGAGCAGAAGGAGAAGTCTGAGCGGTTGGGTTCAGGCTAAGGAGGATGGCAGAGGTGGCAGGATGGTGATGAAGAGGTGACCAGAGCAATGGTGGCCTGGGCCAGGGGCAGGTGGAAAAGGTCAGGTGAGGGCATTGCAGTGGGAGCCTGCGTGTTCTCCAGCTCAGTGGGGACCAGGTGAGAGCAGCAACAGGCAGCTGAGTCCTTCTGAGAAAGGTTTTCATGGTGAGGAGCCAGAGCTGGTGGGGTTCTCTCCAAGCTCCCCGCTCTGTTGCTGGGGCGGAGAAAAGCACCTCTCCTCGGCGCTGTGCATCCAGCCCGCTGAGTGTGGTGCTGAGGAGCTGCCCCTGCTCCAGGTGGGGTCTGCAGTGGAGCCAGCTCCCAGGCTGGGCTAGCCTGACTGCTTCTTGGCCTGAGGCCAGCGTCCCTAAAACACCAAACCCAGTGGAGCAGAGCCCCCCGGCCCAGGCCGGGAGCGCGGATTCTACTGTGTTGCTTCCCAGGCGCCAGGCCAGTGAGAATGACTCAGCACACAGGTTGACCTGTGCTAGCTCTGTGTGTATTTTGGGGTGGTGGGGAGCATGGTGAGTGGGGTTTGCAGTAAACTCCTAGCCCTGTTACACATTTTATAAAACTAATCTGCTTTAGCATGCCTGTCAATGGAGAAATGGCAAGGCGCACACAATGCTAAACTTCCTACGTTATCGGAGGAAAGATGCTGCTGGCTCCCCATAGTGTGGCCTGTGTGACCAGGCAATGGGGGCTGGTGGGGGAATTCTTCCTCTCTCAGCTTTCTCTCCTATCTCCTTTCAGTAAATGCTGACACATATGCTCGAATTATCTTGGTCTGAAACCTACGTCTCATTCTGAAGTAGTCCCCTTCACTCCCCCCAGTTAGTGACCTCCAGTACCTGTCAATGATGGATGATCTTGAGCTCCCAAACACCTGCGTAGTGTCTCCATCCCCGGCCCCTACAGCTGGAGCCGCAGCCTGCCGAGGACCGGGTGGGCGGGAGGCCCAGAGAAGGGCTTGCTGGTGGGATCTGGAGGCTGATGAGATGCCAGGCAAGAGGTTGAGGAGGGCACTCAGATTTGCTCTTAGAAGCAAAGGCATGCTGAGGTGCAGCACTGGCTGGCGTGTTGGGGAGTTCTCTTTGGGACGTGACTGTGAAATGCGTGCAGAGCGCCCAGGCAGAGTGGATCTGAAGCTGAACGAGAAGTCTGGCTGATGCCGCAGCCACAGCCACAGCCACAGCCATAGATGTGCGGGTCCCTTGGAAGGGTGTGCACAGCAGGGATTCTCACCCGTCTTTAATCCCACACCCTGCCAGTGAAAATAACTGTCAGGTTTTACATCTGTAGTTTGTATCAAGTAACTGACGCTAATGGCCCCCACTGGGTACATCTTATACTCAGGGGCTGTGTCAGGCACTGTGATATTCCCAGCAACTCTATCAGGCGCTACAGCCCTCTGGTCAACGTCCTGCCGTCTTGCTGGAGCAGAGCTGTCTGCTGGCCTCTCCCTGGGACCATGTCCCTCCCGACTTACGCCCACCCTCCCTCTCCCTTCCAGGGCCACCTCAGCGAGGTCTCCCTTGCTCTTAAACCACCCCTGCCCCTACCTGTCCCTGTCCCCTAACCTGGGGGTTTCTTCAGCACACCCATCTCTGCCTAACATGATGTCATCTGCAAAATGAGAAAACCAATAATATTAACATCCCAGCATCTCATGAGCATGTACTTTTTTCATGGTCTCACAATCCCCTGAAAGCCACCATGGCCAGCAGGCACTCATTCTCTTATTTGTGTTTCCTAGAGGGTGGTAGGGGCTGGGCACGATGAGGTGGGCACAGGGACAGGATGGAAGGAAGGAAGCTGGTTTTGCTAAGAAAAAAGGCACTGATCTGCAGGCTCCATGCAGAAGGCACCATTCTGCTCCCCTTAGGCTTACAATGTCTGAAGTCCTGGGACAGAGGGAAAAGGAGGATAAATAGGAGTGTGAAGGTGTGTGTGTGTGTGTGTGTGTGTGTTTGGCTTCCCTCATGAAGATTCTTACTTTCTATATTAATGGCTTTGCCTGTTTCATTTTCTGTCATACCCTCAATGCCTAGAATGGTATCTGCTCTGTTGGGCTTTGCACAGTACTGGTGGAAGGAAGGAAGGAAAGAAGGAGGGAGGTGGGGAAGAACGGCTTTTCTCCCAGTGGGCCCGAGCCTGCTGCCCACGGAGCTTTCACCCGTAGACATGAATTTCAAAGCCACCCCACCCAGTTCTGCTCCTCCACATCCTTGAGAAGGTTCTCATCCCCCACTGGCCACATGAGTGTCCTCGGTGGGAGCAGACGCAGGTGGAGGAGCTCCTTGAAACCGGCAGGGTAAACAGGGTGGGCACTGCTTCACTGAGTGTCCTCAGGCGGGGTGCCAGCACCCACAGCTGCTCTATAAAGGCTCCCTGCCTAGAGCTCTGGGGTGGCAGCCCCTTCCACTCCTTCGTCCCCGGAGGGGCCCAGAGAAATGGCCTTGGCCCTGCGGGTCTTCAGTCTGCTGGGCTCAGCCTGCTTGGTGTCTGCCAACATCTTCGGTGAGTTCTGAGCCCGAGGCCACGGAGCAGGGGCCCTGGTGGGGGCTCTCAGGCCGGAGCTCTGAGATCGCCTCACTCTGCCCCAGGGCCTGAGAGCATTGATGGTCTTCTCATTTAATACCCGCCCCCCCACCCCCATGTCCCAAGGTCTGTTATTCGTTCTTTCCTTTCAGAAGAAGAGACAGTTTTTGAGAGGGAGACTGCCTGCCTGAGGTCCCAGAGCCAGTGACTGGTGGAGGGGAGATGGGACAATGGATCTTTCTAATGCACTTTTAGCTCATCCCAACCCCTACCCTTTTAGCGAATTTTGACATTCACATTGTTTTTTAATTCCCTTGGCTTTCTCAAGGCTTAGGTCATCCCTGTGAGGTATTCAAGAAGTAGTCAGCAAGTAGTGAAATAAACCAGTCAGGCTGTGGTGTGAACTGGTCTGAGATTAGCTGTGGCTCAGCCAACTACTGTATGACTGGATAAGTCTAAGCTTCAGTTTCCTCCTGGAAAAAGAGGCAAATGTCACCTCCCAAGGCAGCAGCGGTTTCTGAGAAAGCTCCTGTATGTTACCCACACTCTTTGTGGAAAATAAGACCCACAGGAGTTCCTCGTGTCCCTGCACTGTGCCAGGAAGGTGCCATCTAGTGAGGGCTTGATGGGTTCAAGAACACCTCCTTTAGGGGCTCCTGAGTGAGACCCACCTTGGTCTGGGGGAATGTGCCATCTGAGGGTTTATTTCGAATCCTTCCCTTGCCAGCTCATCGCTGTCATTGCCCCAGGCTTTGTGCCCCGTGGGTAACATGGAAATATAGCTTCCCAGGGGAGTGTTGAAGATTAAGTGAGCTAATGGCATCTTTGAAAAGTGTGAATAGCAGCAAAATTGCAAGTTATAATCTAATTATGATGGTGCTGCTAGAAATAAAACCCAGAAGAGTGTCTGTGCTTAAGCAAGCCCTTCAGTGTTGCTGGAATCCATCCCACTCTTTCCTGATGAGTCGCTTCCTTTTTTGTAGAATATCAGGTGGATGCTCAGCCTCTCCGTCCCTGTGAGCTACAGAGAGAAAGTGCCTTTCTGAAGCAGGCAGACTATGTTCCTCAGTGTGCAGAGGATGGAAGCTTCCAGTAAGGCTCATTTCAGCCACATGGGCTCTTACGTCCTAGGGGGCCTTAAAATGCATCTGCCCCACTCCCCTGCCCCACACTTCTCCCAGGCCCCGCTTCTCCCAGCCAGCACCTAGGGCACCCCCTCTTCCCTGCCAAAGCTTCTACCATAACTGCTTTAATGAAAGGTGGTGGGGAAGAGATGATTTGTGCTTTGGTGTCTCCTCTCCTGTATCCTCTACTCCGAGTGGGGGAAGCAGAAGCTGCTGGACTTCCAGGTCAATGGCTGCCTCCAAGCCCTGTTGAGTGAGTCCTGCTTTCGGGGCTGCATGCTCCTTTCTCCAACCCCTCTCTGGTGAGCTCCTCTCTGAATGGGGTTTTTAGCTGCCTTAACATGAGCTTGAGTCTGGGATTGTTTGCTGTAGAGTGAAGTGATGGTCTAAACAACTCCCCCAGCAGAATACGCAGGAATCCTGTGCATGTGTGTGCAATTTCACTTTCCCTGGGCCGTGCCCTCACGTTGAGCTAGGAGACCTCCGTCTGTACTGTGTTCCGGGAGTCATCGTGAAACCTCCCTCCCTACACTTAACATGCCCAGCAAACTCCTACAGACCCTCAAGAGTGCAGACAGTTACTTCTTCCTACTCCCTGCTTGGATCTCTGGGAATTCCGGCACCGCAGGACTTGGGAGGAAGGTCCGCCATACCGGCCTTAGTTACGCAGCTCTTCCACTTCTCTTGCTCCAGCCACTTGCAGTTTCCAGTCGCCCCTGATCCTCCTCCTCGGAGGCTTTGCATGTGCTGTTTTTATCACCTTCTTATGCTTCTAGTATGACACCTGATCATCCAGTTGGCCTTAGTTTAGCCATCACTCCCCTTGGAAAGCCCCACAAATGTGCTTCCCTGTGTAACCCCCAACCAGGCCCTGCTCTCTGCTGGCTCTGACCCCCCTGAGCTTTCACCTGCCCCCGGTGGGCACTGCCTTAAGCCTCTGCCGCCTCGTTGTGGCGGTCATGCACCATGGCAGGCACTGCCACAGCGCCTGCAGAGCAGATGGGTGGAGAATCAGGGACGGATACTGCAGAGTTAGCAAGACAGGAAAAGGGGTGCTTTTCCTTCCCCAAGTCACCCACCCCCTTCACTCCTCTCTGCAATGTAAATGAACTAAAACTTAGAAGAGGTGAAAGGAAGAAAGGTAACGGGTTGTGGCTCCGGGAGCTGACAGTGGCGTCAGCCTGGTGTGTCTCTCCTGTCCTCAGGTCTGTTCAGTGCACCAATGACGGCCGCTCCTGCTGGTGTGTGGACACCGACGGCAGGGAAGTGCCTGGCAGCCGGCAGCCTGGGTGGCCCGCAGCGTGTGAGTGGGAAGGAGGGAGCTTGTGCCTGGGCAGGTCTCAGTCTGGCCTGCTGTATCTCCCTCTATGAATTGGGATGACAGTCCCCACACATGGGCCCCATTTCTTATAGGAATGCTGTGATAATCAAATGGGACACTCAAGTCACTGATTCAGCAATTAGCTGCCCTGCATGCCAGGCAGGGGAAACAGTGGTGCACAGACATCAAAGGCCTCTGATGCCAGAAAGTTGCCATGTATACATGAAGTGTTTTCATACCTGAAATGTTTCTAAAATTTGAGACTTAGATTGAAAATTTCCCCGTTAAAATAATTACTGTCATGAGTAATCAAAGAAACACAGTCCCCATTTAAAGCAGGTCATAGTTACGCCTTGAACAAAGTTTAAGAGTTTAAACTGGTCACCTAAAAATGGTGAAATTGGGCCTGGTAACAAAGCTATTCCTTAAGAGAAAAGCTGTTTGGGACACTGATTTTTACACAGCCAGCAGGGCTGGTTGGGGAGCAGGCTGGCTCCCCCAACCCTCTGGCTGAATGACCCCGGCCGGGTCTCTTGCTCTCATGTTCCTCATCTGTAACAGGAATATAGGATCTGCCTCAGAGCGGGTGTGGGGATTTAAAACATTTTGAAACACTGGGCACACAGTAGGTATCAATAGGGGCAGAAATGACTAATGTCCTTAATCATGCCCCCGAAGAAGGCGTGTACTTCAAATCTGCTTGTCCCTCACTTGGTCCACAGGATGCTGGAAGGAATAAAGCTGCATAGTCAGAACGCTGGTCCTGAGCCTACTGCCAGCTCATTGGCATCCGTAGGCTGGTGGTTGCCTGTCAGCTGTGGGAGGCGTGCTCTCCCAGTTCTAGGGCGGGAGCGGGGTGCTCCTGGGCTTGGCCCTCTATCTGTCTCCACAGCCCTGCCCTGACGCTGCTCTTTGTGCCTTAGGTCTGTCCTTCTGCCAGCTGCACAGGCAGCAAATCTTGCTGAGTGGCTATATTAACAGCACAGCCACATCCTACCTCCCTCAGTGTCAGGAGTCGGGGGATTACGAGCCTGCGCAGTGTGACCTGCAGCAGGAGCAGTGCTGGTGTGTGGATGCCGACGGGATGGAGGTGTATGGGACCCGCCAGCTGGGGAGGCCAGTGCGATGTAAGTGTCTGGAGCATCAGCATCCCAGAAGAGGAGGGTGTGGGCTGCTTTCCACACACAACCACACTTGGTCAGGTCTCCATGACCAAGGGCAGACCTCCTGGCCCTCAATGCAGAAAGCAAAAGCATTTGAAGAAAGGTTATGTTCCTTGTAATATTTCCAGCTGGTGGGCGAACAGCATTTGCTGGCTGATGGTCAGCACGTCAGCAGGATTCCAGTGAGCATTTGCAGGACTCCTGTTGCAGACGTTAGTCCCTGTGTGGTTCCTAACGATCACATGTGTGGTATGACCATGTGCCTTGAGGCTACAGGAGCACACACCTTCCTCAGACATAAGAATTTAACATCTTTTCCTCGGAAATGTGTAGGTCCGAGGAGCTGTGAGATAAGAAACCGCCGTCTTCTCCATGGCGTGGGAGACAAGTCGCCACCCCAGTGTTCTCCAGATGGAGGGTTTATGCCCGTGCAGTGCAAGTTCGTCAACACAACAGACAGGATGATTTTTGACCTGGTCCACAGCTACAGCAGGTAAGGGCAGCCAGTCCCTGGGGCGTGCCCGAGGCTGGGCCTTCCCTTCCTCTGCCAAAACTCCTACTCATGCTGGGGCTGGAGGTTTTGATATGGAATACACACAGCCTGGTCGGAAGTGAGAGAGGCCTGAGCCTCATATTCTGCGAGTGGACATCTGCAGGGTGCCAGCATTTTAGCTCAGCAAGCTGGCAGTAGTTATTCAAAGGAGGAGTACGTGGACCCTCTGGCCCAGCTGGGGAAATAATGCCAGAACATGGAGACATCTCTACTAGGATGTCCACTGCATCATTTCCCATTTGAGCAGACAACTGGGAGCAAAGCAACTAAGCACCTTAGGCTGAGTAAACGTGTATCCACCATACATATTTATGTAGCCATTAAACAGGATGCATCAGAACTACACCAGTTGATTTGGAGAGGATTCCACAGCATATTATGATAATATGACATAAGATATGAGGTACAGATAATATGATTTAATTTTTAGACAACCAAAAACATCCTTTTATATGCATATATGGTTATATGACTGCTTGTATCTGTATAGGACCAGGTGAGCACAGAGAATAATATGACGAAGCACATACTGGGGGCTATTACAGCTACTTTGAGGGTCAGAGTTGCTATGGATAAGGAGGAATAGGGAGGAGAGGGAGTCAGCAGAAAAGGAAAAAAAGTCACTCTAGAAAGCATAGATTTTTGTAAATTGTGTATATGTATGTATGCACTTATAACTAAGTTTAATTTAAATATTTAAACAACAACTATAAAAAGGGAGATGCATTATAGATCTTGGCCCAGATAATTGGATAGCTTCTGGTTATTCAAGATGGCTCTTTTATTATTGTACAGGGTCCACCCAGACTTCAGATATGATTGAAATGTTCTGAGTAAAAATAAGTAAGAATATTAGTCTGTGAGTACTGATAGGAATTCTCTGGAAGAACCTGAGCCTTTCTGGGGCTGACTTCAAACGACCAGTTTCTTTGCTATGTGAGAGAGCGAACGCTCATGGGCTGTGCCAGGAGGGGTCATAGACAAGCAGCCTGTGAACAGGAACTCTTCCATAGAAAGGGCTGGTTTGAGCTGCATGATATTTTAAAAACTGGAGAATCCGAAGTTGAACCCGATGAAATTTCTGTCTCTGTGGGTAAAAATAGTTGAGCATTAGCAATTTCATGTGTTCAACCTAACACGCACAGAATGCCGAGTTTCTGATTTTAACAAGGGTGGAAGGCTGTATGCATTCTTTCATGGCACCACGACACTGGTCCTGGGCGGTTCTTTTTGGACGGAGTACATCCCTTCAGTGCTCTCGGACCCTCTGAGTCCCGTCGCCATACTCCGGCCGGCTCCCTACTCCCTCTCTCTGCATTACCTGCTTGTCCCTATAGTGTTGCCTCTGTGACTCTCCTTCTGATTCTGAACTGTCATTTGCCCTGAGCCGCAGGGTCCCCATCTGTAAAACAGAGACAACATCCCACTCACCAGGTCCTGGTGAAGATCTGACTGCGGAAAGGGTGAATCATTATGCGTCCGTAGGGGATCCTTGCTCATCACCTGATTCAGCAAACCCAGAGGAGGTTTCTCCTCCAGGCCTAGAGTGGGCCTGCCTGTGTGCTCATAAGAAATCCTGAACAGCCTGATTCACAGGGCTCATTGATGCAAACCAGTGTGTGCGCAGTTAAGTTCAACTGCTGCTTACTATATACAGGGAATTTGTTGTCCTTTTGCCTGCTTTAATACTTCCAAAAATAATTGGGCAATTATGTTCTCTAGCATTAAACGAGGACTTAAGGCACAAAGGTTCAAGAGCTCACTCTGGGAAGCACAATTAGTGGGTGCTAAAGCTGTCTGGTCCTTTAACTATCCCACACAGCTTGGGTCCAACTCTGCTCCCCTACAGTGCATAGCACAGAGCGGTGCACACATTAGGCCTACAGTCAGTGAGTGCTTTGAATCAAAGCATCAAAGAACTTTGAGGGTGCGAGCTTGGGGCACCGTTCACAGCTCCTTCCACAAGAGGGCAGCAAAGTTCAATGCAAGAGATCAGGACTAAGCATCTATTGTTGAAGACAGACCGATGCAAACATTTAGTCCTGAAATGGGATCCTTTCTTTTATGTAAGCAAGCATATCTCAGAGCGAATTCTGATTTAGGAAGGTCCTGGGAAAGGTCAGGCGGTTGGTTACTGGAAGCTCAGCTGTAATCAGAGATTTTCTGTTAAGCAGACCTGGGCAATACCAGGTCCAGGGACTCCAGCACCAACTGGAAGGAGTGGAGAGTTTGGGCTTAGCACCAGAGCTGCAGATAAAGCACAGGATGACCAGTTACCTTTGCAGTTCAGAGGAGCAAGGACTAAGGTGTTAGTATAAACCTGACCCCAATATTGCATCAAGAATGTTAAGCCTGGGGTGTGTGTGTGGTATATCTTAATAATCGTCAGGCTTGGGTTTAGGAAAGAAGGGCCTGTGGTCGGGGAAGAGCAGAGCTGGTGCTCAGAGGCAACCCTGTGAGTCTGGAGGCTACGTCACTGCTCTAGGTGAGAGGTGGGCTAGAGAGGTGACAGGGAGGATGATGGAGAGGTGAGGTGGGGTTGGAGGAGTGTGTACTAGGCAGAACCCATAGAACTTGGCGAAGGAATAGGTATGGAGGGTGAGGGAGGAAGAATGAAGGATGACTTCGAGGTCTGGTTTCTAGATGGATCCTAGGGGATAAGTTCAGAGAGGAAAAATCATAAATTTGATTTTGATATATTGAATCTGAGGGCATTCTTTTGGGAAGTTCACAGATAAGTAGCTCAAGGCAAGTTGACGTCTTTCCATGGGGTGATGAGGGCCCATTGGGCTGGAAGCCTGTCGGGAGCTCATTTGCCAAACTGTGGTAGGTTGCTAATGAGTTGGATGATAATTTGCAATGACCTTGGCCATAGTCCTTGCCCATTTGAAGCAGGTCCTTTTGCCTCTGGAAGAAGACCACTGCTGACTACACCTGTATGACTGGTGACTCTTAAAAACCATGTTGTGTTGAGGAATAAGCTTCAGTGTTTCTTCTGACTCCCTGCTCTTGCCCAACCACGAACTAGAGTGATGCACTCTGACTACGCGGATCGTAGATAAACATTGTAAGAGTTGACGCCGTTACCAAGACCTTTGCGTCTGAGTTAAAATTAAGTTAATTGGTTTCCTTATCAGCCCTTGTCCTCAGTGACTAAGCTCATTTAAACTTCCTGAGCAACCAGCCTCACCTCAAATATCTTGCAACCCATGTTATCCAGGGAATCCATTGAGAAGGACCAGACACACCTTGGCATGTGGCAAAGGGGCATCATTACCTCAACTTGTGGGCAACCACATGGAGAAATCCTCACTGATGAACCATCTGATTATCCTCCCATAAGTCTTGTGCGGTGTGGTCTGCACTGCACCAGGCTCTAGGCTAGCTTACAGCTCCTGCCTTGAAGAGCGGTCCTCTAGTAGGAACCAAATAAATTGCTAATTTAGTAACTGATGGTTAGATTTCTGGAGGGACTGTCGCAGGTGGAGAATCTGACTGAGTAGGTGTGTCCACTACCTGAGCCCAGAAGCAGGAACCCTGCTCTGCAAGGGAGCACAGCCTGTTGCCTGCAGGGACTGACATTTTGTGTTCCACAAAGCCTTATTTGTGATTTCTCTTAAGTTGGCCACAATCTGACAGAAACTCAGAAATCATTTCCCCACCCCACTGCTATTTGCTTTAGTGAGTACTCTTTTATGATCATCCTGACACTTTGCTTTTTATCCAGCAAAAGGGAAGCATCCTTTCCCAGTAGATGAAATAGATACGTATTTTGTTTTTAAATTTTGTGTTGATTTTCTCTTCCTGTTCTGATATGTCCAGAATCACAAGGAAGGCAAAATAAGGGTGGAAAATCAGAATAAGGAAAGGCAAAGATTGATACATACCATTCATTCTATGAAGTTATAGCAAATGTGAGGGGCTGCATACTGGTCTCTGAGCTTCCTGGAACCAGAGAAAGAGGAAATAGTGTAAATTACTTGGTTCTTACCAAATAAAAATAGTCTCTCAGAGGAACACAGTTTTTTACTCTATGAGGGTGGAAAGAGCTTTGTGTCTTGGGTGCTCGTTAAGGGGATAATGGGGGTGATGTGCTATGGGACTTGACAATATGCTGCTGCCAGCAAGACCATCCATCTCCTAAGGCCGGTGCCTGGAGGAGCAGTGGGTGGAGCATGTTCACGAATGGCGTTTCAGTGACGGAGATGCACGGGTCCTGTGGTCTCCGGCAGACTTGGGCCTCCCTCTGTGACATCCACCTCTCAGTTTTCTCTTCTGCCCACACTTGCCCTCTGTCTCCCACCTTGAAGTTGGAGGCATGTCAGTGATCCTTCTAGACATGGTCCCCAATCCGTTTTCTCCTTGTCAAGTCGTTATTCTCAGCTTTAGAATCCTGCTCAAGACTCCCGTCCTGTGGGAGCACTCTTTGGCCACCCAGCAGGTCCCAGGTATGAGGATGGAGCCAGGGCTGCCCACCTCTCCACAGGACTTGAGGTTCATTGCAGTAGTTTGGCTTTTCCTGGGGTGGCAGAGAAGGGTGTAGTCTAATAAGCAGAAGGTTAAAAGTGTTGCAAAGGCCCTCATGCCCTAGGCGACAGTAAAACACCGAATAGCAGAAGCAGCAAGCAAACCATCTCAGTGCCAATGATCATGCCGGGAGAGGGGACCCAAATTCGTAGATGGGAATAGTGGTTCAGAAATCAGCCACAAAAATCAGATTGTATTAGATTGAGTTGTGGGATTCAGTTTGAATTTACAGTCGTGGGGCAGGACGCTCTGAGGACCATGCTCTGTTTAAGTGGGGGCCTCCCCATCCCACCAGCTGCTTTTGTTGAAAGAACATTGCAGATGTTCTCAGGATACCTGGCCCTGGTCTTGACTGAGGAATCTTGAACCAGTCACCTCACCACTCATGTCCCAGTTTACTCATTTGTAAAATGGAGGTTTATACAGGTTGTTGTGAGGATTTAATGAGATGAAGTATGGAGAGAGTTAGGTTAGTGTGTGACCCTCCAATACCTGTCACCTGTTGTTATTTTCATTCATGACAATTAGTGGCAATAATCCCATGTATCTAGGCCCAGAATTCTGATATGTCTTGCTCCAGACTCTGAACTCTTCTCACTGCATACAGAATTGGGGGGCCAAGGATGGCGCAGGGTGTCTGCCCAGAGGTGAGCAGAGGACGGCCCTAGAGTGTCCAGGTGCCAGTAGCTGGACTTCAGCTGGTCTCCTTGGGACAATGGGAGGACCCTCCCTCCAGCTGTAGCCATGGGAATTTCCAGTATGCAGGAAGCAGGGATGTCAAAAGAGAGGGCCATGCAAAAAAGCCCAGGGAAGCCCAGGTACTGGGTAGCTTTTAGGACCAGGAACCCAGAGAGGACTTTGGCCCTGAAGCTCTGGGGTGAAGATGGCTCAAAGGTCCTGCTGGTTGCAGGGACAGGATGTCGAGGTGGGCCTTGGGTTGAATTGACAGAACACGGGCCTGGAGCGATATGAACTTCCTGTGCCTCCTGGAATAGGTTTCAGGACCTGAGGCCAGCGACCCATCAGTGCATTCATTCAGCACCTGTGTCTTCATCTATTTGATGCCAGGGTGAGCAAGGTGCCAGGCATGCAGAGAAGACTGTCAGAGCAAAACAGTCATGTGTCTTTCGGGATGTGAGACAGGAACCAGGTATAGCCAAACCCATGTTGACTGACACCGTTGGCAGAGACACGTATTATGTGGTGTGTAAGACCTGGATCTGAACCCTTAGCTCCCACCACTATTAAGATGGTGGCCGACTGCTTTACCTTCTTGGCCTCTCAAGTGGGGATGAAAAGCACCACCAGCCTTTTAGGCACATTAGCTGGATTAAACAAGTCACTGTATATTAAATATTCTGCAGGTTGTCTTTTACAAAGCAGTGCTCAATGAATGCAAGTGGTTGTTAATTCAATACTAAGTGTATTAATAACAATTATCCTAGGTTCCAGTTAATGAACTTTTATTATATATGTCTAAGTAGGGGCAGCTAGGCAAAATGAGTTTTAGTTTCTATTATGCATAAGTCACCATAACATTCTTTTTTATTTAGCTCATACATGCACAATAATAAACCAACAACCTGGAAAACACCCATAATACTATAGTTTTTTCATAGGATTTGTGTCCCATGTTCATTTCCATTCAGATGAACTAACACGTGTTGTACCCCTGTTCAGCCCCTGAGCAGTTAGCTGCACCATCTATTACCTTCCAATACAGGCTCGCTTATGTAGTAGTAATTGTGGTATAGGTACAGACCATTTTGCATTCTGTCCTTTTTATATAATGTATCCATTTAAGGGATTTACTATATAATTTACCTATCATTGGACATTAAGGTTGTTTTCAGTATTTTCTAGAGTAGATTGCACAGCCACAGACCTGTTTGTGCAGAGAGCTGCTGGTTCGGCTAACTTACTATCCAGGGAGGTATTTCCAGACATACTTGGGTCTCATGTCCTAGCTATGTAGGGCATAAAAGCAAATCTCTCAATAGAGCATAAAGATGAAAAGTTTCTCTCTGGTTGCTAAATCATTGCACCTGGGAAAAACTCCTTAATATGGCTTTACACCAACTAAGCTCCCTATTACTTCCAGCATCAGGAACCCAGCCAAGAAGCTTCTTACAGGAATTGTCAGTTCAGACATGATTTAGGCATACTTTTTATCAACTATGGAAAGAGTGTATAGCTCTCGTTAGTGATGTCATACTGATTTTTTCAACTGAAACTGAGAAATGTCTTGAAGAATTTCCTGTGGTGGAATCTGGCTTCTTTTCAAGCTCATGAAAAGTTGTAAAGGGCCCTGAAGTTGTTTGATTTCCCCACATGAGATCATCTACAATATACCATATGTTTGTAAAGCAAATTTGGCCTGTGGTGTCTGGGGTTATACTCTAGTAAAGGAACTAGTTAATGTCATGTTTATTGCCTGTTTTCTGCTTGATCCAATGAGACACATGCTTGGGTATAAATTGGTCAAATGCCACGAATAAGGACAATGGCTAATTAGTGGATGACAGCCAAGCACAGTTCTCTTTGAATAGGTCCAGCCTAGCTCTGGCCAGGTAACACCAACTTAGAAAAGAAATACATTTACTATGGGAAACATGGAGCAAGTGGCAGAAGATAAAAAAGCAGATGTTACTTCTCCCCAGATGAGATGAGACCACATTAACTTATTTCCACAGGAGGAAGTCCTGATGACTTGACTTTTATGAAAAGGTAACCATAAATCTCATTCTCTCAGATTTCCAGATGCATTTGTGACCTTCAGTGCCTTCCGGAGCAGGTTCCCAGAGGTGTCTGGGTATTGTCACTGTGCTGACAGTCTAGGGCGGGAACTGGCTGAGACAGGTAAGCATACCTCAGGCAATCTGAGGCAGGGAGGGAGTAGCACATGCTAGGCCTGAGAGCCTAAGTATCATTACCTGCAAATCATAAACCATAGTGACTGCCTGACCTCAGGCTGCTGTGGGTATTGAAGAGGGCATGGTTAGCAAACTTTCATCTATGGTACTTAGAATGCAGCTCCTGCTGACCCATTTGGTGCCTTTGTGCACACTGGAAAGAGGCCCCTCCCTACTCCCCCAAGGAAATCTTGAGAGTGGAACACAGGATGGATGGATTTCTCACACTCTGACATTTGAGCTGTGAACAATCTGTACAACCATACATAGCAACACTGACTTTGGAAACCATTAAGTCTTATTTAAACCCAATGCATTAATGATGCTTGTGAAGGCTTGGGCCCTCTTTATTGTAATCTGTTTGCCCAGCAACATCAGGGCTTCCTTTTTGAATGAGTCCATCTCTTGAGACACTCACTGTCTTTGTTTAGGTTTGGAGCTGTTACTTGATGACATTTATGACACCATTTTTGCTGGCCTGGACCTCGCTTCCACCTTCACTGACACCACCCTGTACCGGATATTGCAGAGACGGTTCCTAGCAGTTCTACTAGTCATCTCTGGCAGATTCCGATGTAAGTAATAAGCTGACAACAGATGTGCATGTTTCAGCTAGGAGGAGACCACTTGGCTTTTCAATTTGCTGCCGTCTCCATGGCTGTTCCACCAAAGTGGGTGTGGAGATTTGAAAAAATTTTAGCAGCAAAGACAATGCATGCTGTAAGCATCTCAGGTCTTGTTTACACACTGTACACACTATTTCTCCTAGGCCCCACCAAGTGTGAAGTGGAGCGGTTTACAGCAACCAGGTTTGGTCACCCCTTCATTCCAAGCTGCCACCGAAACGGGGACTACCAGACCATGCAGTGCCACAAGGAAGGGCTGTGCTGGTGTGCAGACACCCAAGGAAAGGAGATTCATGGGACTCGGCAGAAAGGGGAGCCGCCATCCTGTGGTGGGTTCCCTCTCAAGGGCTTTCTCTTTCCGTCTCGTCAGGTCATGTTCCCTGGACTGTTTCTCCAGACCAGCTGCTGCAGAACCTATTAATTACACTGCCTCCTGAGTGCACCCCAAAGGCCCTATAAGCACCACCTGCTGGAAGACCTGTTTATTGTCATTAACTTCCAGCATGTTTCTCATCCTATGTCAGACATAGTTGCTTCCTCAGGTTGCTCAGAGGGTATTGGAGGCCTCAGAGGTGAAGAAAACAATAGAGAAGTAAGTGTACGTGTAGTGTGACAGAAGTGTGTGCTGGTAACTAAATGAGCACAGAGCGGGGTGGGGTCAGTTCTATCTTGCTGCATATAGGAAGATGAGACATTCAGGAGAGCTTCATGGAGGAGGTGACACTTGACTAGCATCTTCTAAAATAAAGATACTTCCTGAAGGAAGAAAATTAGGAAAGGTGTTCTCTGTACAAAGAGCAGGAGAAGACAAATCATAAGGACATAAATAACAGGCATTAATATGCTACCCCTTGCATATCACTAAATTTGCAAGAAGGATAGAAGAGAAAATTGTTGGAGTATGACAGGGTGGGGCTCTGAACTCTAAGATTAGGCACAAAGCCAGGGGTAGAAGAGTGAGGTCTTTCATATCAAAGTATGGGCCCGTGGGCTTCATCCTGGAGGCCAGGGGGAGGTAATCAGGGCTTCTAAGCTGGCGACTGCGTCATGGGTTTGTGTGTAAGAAGGCCCTCCAGACATTTTGGAGGAGGGATTGAAAGGTGCATTAGACTGCAGGCTGTGGGCTGGTTTGAAGGTTATTGCAAGGCCTGCAGAGGACTGAGGGGACCCTATTACTTTCCTGGGGCTGCTGTGACAGAGTACTACCGGCTCAGTGCCTTAGAACAACAGAAATTTACTCTCACAGTTTTGGAGCCTAGAAGTCCAGCACAGAGGTGTCTGCAGGGCCACAGTCCCTCTGAAGGACCCGGGGTTGGGTCTCTCCGTGCCTCTTCCCTAGCTTGCAATAGTCACCAACAGTCTTCGGTGCGCCTTGGTTTGTTATGGCACCGCTTCTGAACTCTCTCTCCTCCAGTATGACCTCTTCTTAACTAGTTCCATCTACAATGACCCCATTTCTAAATAAGGTCGCATTCTGAGGTTCCAGGAAGGGCCTGAGTTTGGGGAGACACTATTCAACTCAGTTCAGGGACCAATACTAAAGTAGAAGCAGTGGGCCGGGGAGAAGGGAGTGGGTTTGGACACATCTCTAGGCATTCCAGTAAGACGCCAGTCCACCTCCCCGGTCAGACTCCAAAGGGTGCGGGCGACAAGGGAGAGGCGGGGTCCGGGAGCGCTTGCAGGCTTCCCACCGGGGTGAGCCGGGTGGATCCAGAAAGACATGAAACAGTGAAGGAGGACGGTGAGTCTTTTTATAGCCTAAATAGATACGTATTAAAGTTCATTAAGTAATTCCTGTTAAATCATTTGACTTCTCCAACTTAACATTTTGAGTATTCTGCATGGTGTTTGGTAGTGAGAAAATATAGAAAAAGAAAATTGAAAAGCTCTGCCTTGAAAATATTCACAATACTTCCATTAAAATCTAGAGAATATTGTACTTTCCTGTTTTCAGGTGGAACTGAAGAACTATGGTTTTCCAAATGAAAATCAAGAGTACTCCCAAATATAGGGATCATATAATTTTACTTTCCTTTCTGGCGTATCAGTCCTATTTCCAAGGTAATGCCACATGGAACCAATATCAGAATATTTTGCCTTGGAAACACTGTATAACAAATGAGTTAGAAGGGATATGCTCTTAATTTGGAAAGAGAGTCAGCAAAGCCACGACCTTTATTTCTTCCATGCCTCCCTGTAATATCCATTAAAGGAGGCGATGGTCTGCTTAAGGGATGTGTTATGTGTTTTGATGTTGCCAGTCTTTTTTTCTCTGACCACATGTTCCAGTTCTTTCTCTGTTGCCTGGCTACAGAGGGAAACTGGCTGACTTCCTTTTTGGCATCCATGTGAACCAAGGGGAAAGAATTATTTTATAAAATTGGGGGTGGGTGGATAGTTGAAAAGGACATCTGAGATTTAAGGTTTTATGGAGAAACGTGGAGCTAATTGACTTGCACCCATGTGGAATTTGAATTTAAAATATTTTTTCTTAATGTGATTACATGATCTAGGATATTCAGATAGAATGACCTGACTATGCATGAAGGTGGCTGAACTGATCACTATTTAATTAGTGTTTCAAGGAATGGTCAGGAAGCCTAGAAAAATGCACTAAGTGTGCTTACTGAGTGGGCATTATCATATTATATTATGGGAAAGACTGTATTTCCCATAATACATTATAATATATATTACAACATTGGAAAATGTTTCTTATTGGAGGAAATACTAGTAGCAGAGAAAGCATGGTTCTTATTCTCAAAGAGACTATAAACTAGTTAGCCTTGACAAGACTGCCCACAGGAGGAACAAGGCGACCACATGAAGAGAGTATAGTGAAGCATTCAAGTCTGTTAAGAATTCTAACCAGAGAATGCTAGAAAACATTTCATTAAGAACATATTTGTCAGTGTGTTAGTTTCCTAGGGCTGCCTTAACAAATTACCACACACCGGGTGGCTTAAAACAACAAAAATTTATGCTCTTACACTTCTGCAGGCCAGAAGCCTGAAATGAAGGTATCAGTGGGGCCACACCCCCTCTGAAGGCTCTAGGAAGGGCTCCCTCTGCGCCCCACCCCAGCTTCTGGTGGTTGCTGGCAGTCCTTGGTGCCCTTGGCTTGTCGCTGCATCTCTCCAATCTCTGCTTCCATCTTCACTTGCCCTTCTTATGAGGACACCATCCTTGGATTTAGGGCTTACCCTAATCCCCTATGATGTCATCTCAACCAGTCACCTTTGCAAAAACCCTGTTTCAAAATGAGGTCACGCTCTGATGTTCCCGGTGGACACGGATATTGGTCAGTGAAGAGGGAAGGACACCATTCAATCCAGTATGTTTGGTGCCCATGTGTGGTCAGGTTTACAGAAGGCAGGCCGGTGTCTATGAGCCCTGCCTCAGAAGGCGGTCACCCTCTCGTGCAAGCTAGGAGAGGAAGTCATGTCACCTAACTTACTCACTGCCCTCAGATGGCCTCCACATATGTGTTCAGAGGGAAAGGACAAAATAAAAGGATGCTGGGAAGAGGTACCAAACGCAGGTGTCATGATTGAATTTTTTGACATCTTTCTCTCAGAAAGATCTGAAGGGTTGTCTCAGTGTTACTTGTGATGTTAAACCATTTCTCCCACTCGCTCTGTCTTGTGCAGCTGAAGACGGATCCTGCACCTCAGAGAGGAGACGGGCCCTGTCTAGACTCCACTTCGGGCCCTCGGGTCACTTCAGCCAGCACAGCTTGTTCCTGGCTCCCAAGGGAACACAGGTCTCTCGGAGAGCAGCCAGAGCTGCGACCTCCTGCCTTCCTTGGATCAAGGAGCTCTTTGTGGGCTCCAGGATTCTCCGCCCATTGGGAGAGCGGCAGGGTGAACGCTTGGCCTCCCCAGAGAGTCTCCTCAAAGAAGCCATCGGAGTGATTTTTCCCTCCCGGGAGCTGGCTCGTCTTGCCCTTCAGTCTACCGCCAACCCAGAGCGACTCCAGCAAAACCTCTTTGGAGGGAAGTTTTTGGTGAATGTTGGCCAGTTTAACTTGTCTGGAGTCCTTGGCACAAGAGGCACCTTTAACTTCAGTCAATTTTTCCAACAATTTGGTCTCCCAGGCTTCCAGAATGCAGGGGCATTAAGAGATCTAACTAAGCCCCTCCCAGTGGGATTGGATTTAAATCCTGCCCCGGAAATCCCCAAAGCCTCTAAGAAGGTTGTTGCTATGAATAAGCCAATTGTGGGCAGCTTTGGATTTGAAGTCAATTTACAAGATAACCAAAATGCCCTGGAAGTTCTTGCTTCACTCCTGGAGCTTCCAGAATTCCTTCTCTTCTTGCAGCATGCTATTTCTGTGCCAGAAGACATAGCAAGGGATTTGGGTGATGTGATAGAAATGGCGTTCAGCTCCCAGGGCTGCGAGCAGGCACCTGGCAACCTGTTTGTCCCCTCGTGTTCAGCAGAAGGGAGCTATGAGGATGTCCAGTGCTTTGCTGGGGACTGCTGGTGTGTGGACTCCCGGGGCAAAGAACTTCCCAGTTCCAGGGTTAGAAGTGGACGGCCACGGTGCCCCACAGAATGTGAAAAGCAAAGGGCTCACATGCAAAGACTCTCAAGTAGCCAGCCCGCTGGGTCCAGCTTGTTTGTCCCTTCTTGTTCCAGTGAGGGGCATTTCCTACCCGTCCAGTGCTTCAACTCAGAGTGCTACTGTGTTGATGCTGAGGGTCAGGCTATTCCTGGAACTCGAAGCTTACTTGGAGAACCCAAGCAATGTAAGTCCGTTGGGTATTCAACCTACAAACTCTGATTCTCTCTTGGGGCCCTGCATTATAGAAACAAAGAATTCAGTCATAGCTAACGCCCAACCTTCTGTTAATGACAACAGTTGGTTAAATGGCTAAAATAAAAATTAAATGGCTAAAATAAAAATTATCCAGGAAAGTCTTGATAACATTAACCATTCTAATGAGTGAACAGGGAGACTGATTTGGTCTTAAGGAGCTGCTGCGTGTGTTTCTGCAGTGCTGGTAACAGCTGCCCTCAACAGTGCCAATTTAGTGATACAGGTGCACTCTGTCTAGGTGTTATGTACAAATTTAAGGTTGATGGGATTTCTATGGATGTATAAGGTCTTTGATGGAGTTTGGACAGCTAAGGGCTTCTATCTAGGACTTGTAGACTTACTAAACTTTCTTGGGGAAGTGGATAAAGCAAAAAAGTATATTAATATTGCTAGGAACCAAGATACTAGCTGTATCAGTTATAGAAAAAAGATACAGTACAAATTTGAAAAAGCTAAGTAATTGGGCTTGTTAAACTTCTTAACCTCATACATCTGCTTATTGTTCTTCCTCCCCAGGCCCCACACCCTGTCAGCTGCAGGCTGAGCGAGCCTTCCTTGAGACAATGCGGGCCTTCACCTCTAATTCCAGTCTGGCACCCTCCCTCTCCAGCACCTACATTCCACAGTGCAGTGCCAATGGGCAGTGGAGACATGTGCAATGCGACGGGCCCCCCGAGCAGGCCTTTGAGTGGTATGAACGATGGAGGTCTCAGAACAGTGGTGGCCAGGAGCTGACCCCTGCCGAGCTGTTGATGAAGGTCATGGGCTACAGAGAAACAGCTTCCAGAAACTTCCATCTCTTTATTCAAAGTCTGTATAAGGCTGGCCAACAAGACATCTTCCCAGGACTGGCAAGATACCCTTCTCTCCAAGATGTCCCACAGGCAGTGTTGGCAGGAAACCTGACCCAGCCTGGGGGGAACATCTTCCTAGAGCCCTACCTCTTTTGGCAGATCCTAAATGGCCAGCTTAGTCGATACCCAGGGCCCTATTCAGATTTTAGCACCCCTTTGGCACACCTCGACCTTCGGAGGTGCTGGTGTGTGGATGAGGCTGGTCAAGAACTGGAAGGGACCCGGACCGAGCCAAGCAAGGTTCCAGCATGTGAGTGAAACCATGTGAAGACCTGAATTTGTGCTGTTTAAAAAAAGATGTCTGGGGGGAGGGTAAAGAGTGTCAAAGCTGGAACTGAGTTCAGGTAACAACCAGATATCCCTTTAGTGTATGGTTGAGGAAACTGAATATATAGTCAGCTTGGGCTGCTAAAACAGAATATGGCAGGCTAGGTGGCTTAACCACCAGACAGCTGTTTCTCACAGTTCTGCAGGGTGGAAGCCAGATTTAGGTGCGGGCAGACTCAGCTCCCGGTGAGAGTCCACGTCCTGGCTCTCAGGTGGCTGCCTCCTTGTTGTCTACTCACAGGACAGAGGGAGAGAGAACTCTGGTCTCTTTTTCTTCTTATAAGGATACCAATCCCATCACAAGGACCCCACCCTCAGGACCTCATCTAAACCTAATCCCCTCCCAAAGGTCCTGCCTCCAAATACCATCACACAGGTGTTAGGGCATTAGCACATAAGTTTTGGCGGACACATTCAGCCTAGAACACTGAAGCTTATAGAAGGGGAGTCATTTCCCCACATGTACAAAGTCAAGTGTTGGCAAAGTTAATGTAGTTCACTTTTGAGTTTTCATATAATTGTTTATTTAAACCAATGTCCCAAATTTTAATTGGATGTTTTCTATATACAAGGCATTATCTTAGGCCCAATGAAGGCTGTAAAGTGAATATGACCTGGCTTTGTCCCTTTATGCTTTAGTAATCTCTCCTAAGTTAGCTGTACCATTTAATTAACCAACACATATTATGAGGGTCTTGCTGCTTACAAAGACACAAATACTAGGTGCTCAGGACCTCAGGAAGTGCTTCTGCTTTCAAAATGCCTTTAATTTCTTGGAGGGGTTTAATTAAATGACTAATTGGAAAGCTGCTGAATGAGGTCACTTAAGTTCAGCTTTGTAGCACGTAGACTTACTGGGAAGTTGTGGTGTGTGAGGCATAAAACAGAAGAAGGGTGATTTTGTGTCTTCAGTTAAAATGCCTTATTTCCAAGTAACCATGCCAGCAGTTTGAAAGAACCAGGCAGATTCAACAGTTATTATCATATCAGAACCTCTCTAACCAGCCATTGCAAATATTATAAATAATATTATAGCTGTTCAAGTCCAATGAAATCTCTCAGTTCATTCTTTGCCATATTCAGCATTGTCCAGACTTTTCTATTTTGACATTAGCCAAGTCCCCCCCACATACCCTATTACAGTCACTGTTCATCAGCACAGTAAGATGGTATAGAGTCACTACTTGTCTTACCTGTGCTCTACTGCCTACCTTGTGTCCTCCCCTATTTTATGTGTGCTAATCATAATACCCCTCCCTTCCCACCCACCCTCCCCAGTCCCTTTCCCTTTGGCAACTATGAGTCCATTCTTGGGTTCTGTGAGTCTGCTGCTGTTTAGTTCCTTCAGTTTTTGCTTTGTTCTTATGCTCCACACATAAGTAAAATCATTTGATACTTGTCTTTCTCCACCTGGCTTATTTCACTGAGTATAATACCCTCTAGCTCCATCTGTGTTGTTGCAAATGGTAGGATTTGTTTTCTTCTTATGGCTGAATAATATTCCATTGTGTATATGAACCACATCTTCTTTATCCATTTATCTCCTGATGGACACAGGTTGCTTCCATTTCTTGGCTATTGTAAATAGTGCTGCATTAAACATAGGGGTGCATATGTCTTTTTCAAACTAGGCTCTTGCATTCTTAGGGTAAATTCCTTGGAGTGGAATTCCTGGGTCAAATGGTATTTCTATTTTTATTTTTTTGAGGAACCTCCATACTGCTTTTCACAATGGTTGAACTAGTTTACACACCCGCCAGCAGTGTAGGAGGGTTCCCCTTTCTCCACAGCCTCACTAGCTAACATTTGTTGTTGTTAGTCTTTTGGCTGTTGGCCATCTGAGTTTCTTCTTTGGAGAAGTGCCCGTTCAGCTCCTCTGCCCATTTTTTAATTGGATTATTTGCTTTTTGTTTGTTGAGGTGCATGAGCTCTTTGTGTATTTTGGATGTCAATCCCTTATTGGATATGCCATTTATGATTATATTCTCCCATACTGTAGGATGCCTTTTTGTTCTACTAATGGTGTCCTTTGCTGTACAGAAGTTTTTAGTTTGATATAGTCCCACCTGTTCATTTTTGCTTTTGTTTCCCTTGCCCGGGGAGATATGTGCATGAAGAAGTTGCTCATGTTTATATTCAAGAGACTTTTGCCTGTATTTTCTTCTAAGAGTTTTATGGTTTCATGACTTACATTCAGGTCTTTGATCCATTAGACAGTGATCCAGTTTCATTCTCTTACATGTAGCTGTCCAGTTTTGCCAACACCAGCTGTAAAGAGGCTGTCATTTCCCCATTGTATATCCATGGCTCCTTTATCATATATTAGTTGATCATATATGCTTGGGTTAATATCTGGACTCTCTATTCTGTTCCACTGCTCTGTGGGTCTGTTCTTTTGCCAGTACCAAATTGTCTTGATTACTGTGGCTTTGTAGTAGAGCTTGAAGTTGGGAAGCAAGATCCCGCCTGCTTTATTTTTCCTTCTCAGGATTGCTTTGGCTATTCGGGGTCCTTTTGTGTTTCCATATGGATTTTAGAACTATTTGTTCCAGTTCGTTGAAGAATGCTGTTGATATTTTGATAGGGGTTGCATTGAATCTGTAGATTGCTTTAGGCAGGATGGCCATTTTGACAATATTAATTCTTCCTGCCCAAGAGTATGGGATGAATCTCCATTTATTTGTATTATGGGGGTATTCTTATAATTTTAGATGCTTTAAGACTGAATTTGGTCTTCTTTGGATCTAATTTTTGGGGCCTGAGTTACTAATACCAAAGCCTCTTGTAACTTTTAGTAGCTAGTCTTATTCACCTTGGCCTGAATGATGGGCAAAGCGTGAGAACTGGCTTAGAATATATATTGACTTTTCCACTGAGTAACAAGAGGCTGTGTGGAGAAAACCACCTGGGTGTCCAAGATGACCCATTAGGAAGTAAATACTAGAGATGACACCTATATTTAGTATTATTGTCTTTTCTTTTTGAATTTCTAATTTTGTTTTTGCAATTAAGTGTTTGCTGAAACAGCTGAGAAAACTGTACCTAATTTATTATATTATCATAGCGGTACATGTGTATATGTTATAAAGAAATACACATATTTTGGGGGTGCATCTTCAAACTCTTTTGTTCCTATTATTGTATTATCAAAAGGGTTTGGTGACCACTGGTTCAGAGCCTTGATACTCAGAGTGTAGTTCAGCAGTATCCCCATCACCTTGGGAATTTGTTACAAATTAAGAATCTCTGATTCCACCTGCTGAATCAGAATTTGCAATTCTACAAGATCCTTAGGTGGAATGAATGCTCCCTAAAGCTTGAGAGGAACTGGCCTAGAGGACAGGGCACTAGAGTCTTGAGTCCTGGTTCTGTTAGCAGCTACTCTGTGAGCCAGAGGAATCTTAGTTTCACCTGTAAAATCTAAGTTATGATAAATAACCACCTCAAAAGTTGTGAGCGTTATAAGTTAATAGATGTAAAGCAACAAGCCTGGTACATAAAAAGTCCTTAATAAATTACTGGATTAGCACAACTGATAGTAAATAATGAAGTGAACCATAACTTCCCATGCACAGAGAGGATAATGGCTTAGGGGATGAGATCAGGTCCTGTCCATATCACCATCTCTGCCCTGTTTGAAGGTTAATTTTCTTTCTTTAATATGGACTTATTATCTATCTACTGTGTGTACTATGCTGTATGATGGGGAGACGGTTATGAGAAAGGTATGATTTCTGGCCTAAGGGGCTCAGGGACCAGTGTGGGAAACAGATGTATTATCAGGTTAATAACAGACTGAAATGGTAGAACAGAAGTGTGAACACAGTAGAGGATGCCCAGAGAATGGGCTACTCACTGATTGGGCATTGGGTAAAGATTCACATGGTGTCATCTTCTGGATTTTATGGGGTGTTTTCTCAGGTAAAAAAATGTGGCAGACCTTTCCTAACAGGAAATAATATGTGCCAAGTCAGGGAAGCTGTAAGAGGTCCTCTTTTGTTGGGAAGGTCAGTGTGGTAAGAAGGGAGAGGTTTTAGGAGGGAATAATAGAAGAAGAGGATAAAGGGAAATTGGGGCCTTTATTTAAAAAGGTCTTATGTGTCCAGTCACAGAATTTTCATTCTATTCTTGAAGAAGTGGACAGCAAGCATAGATAATTTAAGAGTGAGTTTTTGCTTCAGGGATTCCAAACCCCTGGGATTGGTGTAATAGACTTTTTGATTGGGGACATCCACAGAAGGTTATAATGTCTTCAAATCCCAGAAGTCAAAGGTTTCTGTTGTGCCTGTGCTCTCAAAAGAATCCACTGAACACCTTGACTGTTGAATTCACAGCATGATTGGCTGAAACAAATATGGCCAGGGTGGCTTTTGTTAGTAGTGACAATTTCAAGGGCAACATGCGCCAGACACTGTGCCAAGCACTTCAAATGCAATAACTCATGGAATAATTACGAAATTCCTATGGGGTAGATGCCCCAAGTTATCCTCATTTCACAGATCACAGGACTGAAGCTCAGAAGAGTTAAGTACGTTATCCAAAATCACATAGCTAATAAGCAATCAAACTGGTATTTGAATCTCAGTGGTCTCTGAGAGCCATGCTCTTTTCTCTTTATAAGAATAATTCTGTGCTCACCTACTATGCCTCCCTTCAACTTTGGATACCCATCCATCCTCTCCCCAATCCATCCACTCACCCGTCCACTCATCCATTCATGCACCCATCCATCTGTCTATCCTTCCAGTAGAAGCATCTGGTTAAGGATTACTGGTTCTAGAGTCATACTGACTAGAATTCCAAACCAAATGCTTGCTAGCTAGGAGCTTGTTTAAGTTCTATGACTTCTCCATCTGCAACACACAGTTAATAAGGTCTTACTGGGCTGTTGCACAGATTAGATTAGATTGTCTGTGTAACTGTGCTTAGTACAATACCTGGTGTGGAGTAAACATTAGCTATTAGTAATCTTATATTGTAGGTCCTCCATAAGTGTTGGGTGAATGAAATTGTGAAGACAAAACAGAAAGAACATTCCAGGTTATGGGAAAAACTGGGGCAAAGGAACTACCTGAGGCGGAACGTGTGCTTGTGTGTATGCACATACACTTCAAAGGGGTCAAGGGAATTGTCTGTGGTGGGTGAATTCACCCGTGATGTCTTTATTCCTCTAGGTCCTGGCTCTTGTGAGGAAGTGCAGCTTCGCGTCTTGCAGTTCATTAAGGAAACAGAAGAGATTGTCTTGGCTTCCAACAGTTCTTGGTTCCCTCTGGGAGAGAGTTTCCTAGCAGCCAAAGGAATCCAGCTGACCAATGAGGAGCTCGCCCTTCCTCAACTTTCCCCATCCCGGGAGGCTTTCTCAGAGAAGTTTCTGAGTGGGGGCGATGACGCCATTCTTTTGGCAGCTCAGTCTAGTGAGTGCCATGCTCTTCTGGTTTCTTGTGCCATCTCTCTGGGGAAGCAAGAGCTTGAATTACTTCCTCTTCAAAACTTTCCTGCCTTGATTTCCCAAGGCTGATGGGTTCCTGGGAAAGAAAAGGAAAGTGATTTTGTACACCAGTCAAAGCTGGAATGTGTGCAACTCTCCAATGTGCTCCCAAACCCATCAACAGAACCTTGCGGGGCCAGGGCTCCACCTTTTGTATTGCAGATGGTGTCTGCTGCTCACCAGGAAAGCCTAACACTCATGTGAAAGTGTGGGGGGGCCCCAGTCCCAAATGCTCACACTCCCCTCATGGCCTGTTCTGAAGCTTGCCTCCATTTCCAAGGACCCGGGAACACCCCAAAGCAGGAAGGAGAGGAATCCTCATTACTGAGGAGCTACTGGGTCTCAGGCACCTTCCACACGTGATGTCACCTAGTCCTGAGTGTAACTCCAAAACTCACAACCTGCACAGGACAGAGAAATGTGCTCAGAGAGCAGACGATGCTCTAGCCCATAAGAACAGCTCTACATTACTGGAAACCTAGCCCAGCCAGGGCTAGTGGATCACCAGAGCTTGGCAATCGATCCTCCCAATGTACAGGAGATCGGTGCTGTAATCACTATCTGTGATTCTTCACAAATGTGGAAACTGAGGTTAAGTCACATGCCCAGGTTCCCCCAATAACAAGTGGCAGAGCCTGGATGCTCTGCTGGCAGTTTGGCCTGTGGGCCAATGTGCCCTGCCCAGATGATCTCTGGGGGGCTGCGCTCAGAGCCCAGTCTGTCTCCTCCCAGAGGCCCTGCTCTTCCTCCACCACCTGCAGCCTGTCTGGTCCCAAGTCCCTCCCAGTTCTCTCATGGACCCCCACCCACTGACAGGGACAAACGGCTCATGGCTTTGCCAGCACGCCCAGGTTCCCGCCCCTTGCAAGATCTCAGCTGATCCCCTATGTGGGGTTCTCTGGGCTTGGTTAGTCTCCAGGGGACGCTGGTGGCAGGGCAGAGAACGCCTGCCCCCACAGGCCAGAGCCCTGCCGTTCGGTCCTGGGTCCTGGGAGGTGTGCTGCCACCCAGAAGCCGTTTCAGTTGTTTGTTCTCTTAACCCGCCGTGAGAACCTCCCCAGCGCCGTCTTGTCCTGCCTCTGCCCCTCACCTGTCATTTGCCTTTGGAGGACAAAGCACCTTGTTTTACCCCCCTTTATATTCTGGGCCTGGCAGCGCGCCTGACAAGTGGGAGTCCAGTAAATGCTGGTTAATCCTCCTTGTCGCTTCCTTCCTCCCTTTCTTTCTCTTCCATCCCCTCTGTGCCCCACAGGCTGAGGCACTTTTTTTCTCTGTTCCTCAGAAACTTGGGGACTTCTGCTTTTGGCAAGAAACCAATTACTTTCAATTGTGTGCACGGACAAGATCTAATGTGATCAGAGAGGGGAGTGGGCCACTTTGTTGTGGAGTTGTGACCACTTGTGTAGGGTGGGAACTGTGAGGACAGGGCAGAAAGTTGTTGGTGCACAGCGATCTGCCCCCTGAATGGCACGGTGACCTGTCCGGAAGATGGGCTGAGGTGATGCCCTCCACCCAGCCACTCTCTCCCACCTGGCACGTCCGAGGCTGCAGCAGGAAAAGGAAGTGTCTATGAGAGGGACCAGGGGTGCCCAGTTTGCTCCGAATCCCTCCATGGGAAGGGGTGTCTCTGCTGTTGCAGAGGAGGGGATCCTGGAGAGTCAAAAGAGACGGAAGCCCTCAAAGTGTCTTTGGCCTACGTAATGTGGCCACCATGTCCGTGGGCCTAGTGAGGGTGAGGGAGCACAGGCACGTCGCTGGGCCTGCCATGAGCTTGGTGTTCAAGCTCTTCTGATGCAGCACACTTCACCTGTGAGTCTGTGTTAGGGTCATTTCACAGCAGGGGACACAGGCTCAGAGAGGGCTTGTCACACTGGTGAGTCCCCAAGTGCCTTCAGACCAGCCCCCAAGGGCAGCCGGACCACCCTTTCCCCAGTCCCCAGGCCTGGAACACTCTCTCTAACCTTGACCCAAGGTTCGTGCTCCTTGAGGCCTAGATGGAGACAGGCAGCTGAGAGTGGGAAGGGGCCCTAGGTTCCCCCGCAGCCCCACACCTGCTCCCTGGGTAGTTTCAACGTCCATCTCATATCTGTTTTCCAGCATAGCCTTACTTCTGAGGTTTGGACCCACTTTACACCTCAAGGGTGATGTTCCCTCTGAAGGCACTTCTTGACCTAATCAGCTCTTTACGAAAGTTACGGGGCAAAGACTATGACTCCTTCAAACTGCAGCCTACATTTTTATTTTTAAAGCATAATCTGCTTACCCACTGTTTAGGCATCCTTTTCATACTTTGGGTAGAAATTCTTGCCACCCCAATAAGAAGTCCTCCTTATGCTGGAAATGGAACAGGGACATGCTTGGTTCTCAACGACGAAGCCCACATGGCCGGGATTTTCCAGGCCTGGCGCTCACATGTCTTCCTGTCTCTCTCCAGCCTTCGACTTCTATCAGAGACGTGTTCACTTCCTCCGGGGTGATTCAGCACCAGCTACAGGAGCAGCCCTTCTGTGGTCCGGCCCCTACGTGCCACAGTGTGACGTGTTTGGAGGTTGGGAGCCCAGGCAGTGCCATGCCAGGACTGGTGAGGGGGCAGCATCCTTGGGAAGCTGAGGGGTGGCTCTCCTTTTCATTTAGGGGAAAGAGCTTGGCATAAGGGGCAAGTGAACTGGACTCTAGGTCCTTCTTTGCCAACTGGTAGCACATCCCTTAATTTCTCTGGCCTTTGGTTTTCTCATCTGTAGAATGGGAGCAGTGACCTTCTATGAGCCTGAAGGCCAAGTGAGTGGTTGCTGGGGGGATTGGGCCTGTGGTTGTGGACAATGTCAGGTAGAGGGGACAGATGGTGGGACCTTTGCTGGCACTGCTGTGAATGCAAAAAAGGACAGGACACAGGGGAGTAGGGGTGGGGAGGCAAGTGCACCTCCTGAACTCCTGGCCTGTGGCTCTTTCCCAGGACACTGCTGGTGTGTGGACAGGAGTGGAGAGTACGTCCCTGGCTCGCTGACTGCCCGCTCCGCACAGGTCCCCCAGTGTAAGTAAAGCCCGCGGAACTCTCCCGCTTGGCCCCAGTGCTGGGCACTCTATACTGGGGGGTGCCAGCTGTTGTTACCCCCAAGTACCTTCAGACCAGGCCCCAAGGGCAACCAGACCACCTTTTCCCAAGTCCTCATGCTTGGAACACTCTCCCTAACCTTGACCCAAGGTTCGTGCTCCTCGAGGCCTAGATGGAGACAGGCAGCTGAGAGTGGGAACGGGCTCTCAGTTCCCCCCAGCCCCACACCTGCTCCCCAGGCAGTTATAACATCTCACATCTGTTCTCCGGCATAGCCTCACTTCTGAGGTTTGGACCCACTTGACACCTCAAGGATGATACAGCCCACATGAGTCTTTGGCCCTGAACCTCTGCCTGCTTCTCCTCTGAGCTTCCAGCTATCTATGCAGGGCACCTCCATCTATCCAGATGCTCAGCTCTGAAACTGTGGGCCACCCTGGCTGCCCACGTCCCGCAGCACCCACTGCCTCTCTGAGGGCTCCCTTCTCTCTCCCCAGGCCCCACCACCTGTGAGAAATCTCGAGCCAATGGGCTGCTTTCCAGCTGGAAACAGGCTGGATCCCAAGGAAATCCATCTCCAAAAGACTTGTTCATCCCAACCTGCACTGAGGTAAGGTTCTGAAAGCCCATGAAGAGTTTGAGGAGAAAAGCCAGAACTTTCTCCTAAAGGCTGAGGATGATTTGTCTAGTTTTTGATAAATTTGTTTTAGTTACAAACTCACCGGAAGTTGTAGGTCCGGGTTTTTGTCCTCACTCTGGCCGACCCAGGCTGTGTGACCTTGTGTAAGTACCTTACCTTCTCGGTGCTCCATTTGCTTTATGGTATGCCAAGATGAGGCCGTATTTTTATCCTGCCCAGTACTAAGATTGTTTTGAGGCCCCAAGGAAATATCTTCCATGCAAACTGAAAGATAATCCACAAATGTACAGGTGCTGCCGTGCTTTTCCTAAAGTCCTTTTGGCCACGTTGCTAGGCCTGTTTCTTAACATAAATGGAATACATCATACTATAACCCTTGCCAGCTACCTGGATGATTGTAATACCTGAGGGCCCATGGAGAAGGAAAGGTAAAAACCAGAGCCTCTGGCAGAGGGAAAGTGATTCCGAGCTGCTCTCAGAGGCCCTGCAGTTGGGTGCCTTCCCGACCTGGCTCCCATATGGAGGAGCTCAGATGCCAGGTGCCAGGACCTGAGATTCCCACCGACCAGACTGGATGGCTATGTCTTGACCCAGCTCCTCAGGAAAGGTAGTTGATGGCTAGAATATTCTCAATTGTAAAGCTTTATCCCATGAAATATTCACAAACCTTTGCTTGGATTTGAGTCTTAACTGTGTAGCTTATAAGCTGTGTAACCAGGGGCATGTCACTGGCCTTCCCTGGGCCCCTCTGTGCAGACTGAGGAGAATATGGTCCCTACTCCTAGGGACTGACTCCACCCCGGGGGTGCAGGGTGCTTAACACAGGGTGAGCTTTATGGTCAGGCTCCTCGTGAATGTCAGGTGTGACTATTATTGTTGTGTCTTGTCTACAAACAAGTCACAGCAGAGTATGAAATAAACAAGTGGTCAGAAAAAAACCTCAAGGACGCACAGTGACGGCCAGGGAGCTCGGAGGTGGCTGCTTTCCCCTAGCAGTTAGTGAACAAGCAAAGCCCTGTTTGTTCTTGAGGTTTTCTGTTACAGATGTAGGAGAGAGGACATGTTCCACCATCAAGAGTTCCTAGAAGGAATGCGTTCAAGCCTCAATCTAGTCCCACCTCTTCTTCATAAGATGGGGCAACTGAGGCTCAGAGAACTGAAGGGCCCTCCCCAGCCGACCCAGGACAAGCTGGGGAGAGGGGCCCCAGCCGGACACATGGTCTGGGTAGCTGTCTTGTTCTGTTTTCTTTATTCTCTGTTACACATGCTAAGGGCTCCCTTTCTCCTAGGGATGCTTGTTGAAAATCATTTCTGGAATTGGGAAGCTCAGTTTGGGAGAGTGCTGGGGCTTTGGGCTTTGGGGCTAGGTGGGTTTTGGCCTTGGCTGTCTCTGCCATTCCCAGCCCATGGGGTTGCTGCTCTGTCGCTTTCCTCTCTGACTCAGCCTCAGTTTCTCCTGTTATAACCATCAATTCCAATTATACGTGTCAAGGATCTGGGACATGATGGGGCCGCCTCTCCATCTACCCCCTCCCTTTGGAGAAGCCATCACCAGGAGTTTTGAAAAGGACATTTGACATCTGCCCACTGACCTGTGGGCTGCAAAAGCGTTTTCCTGGCTGACATGACCGACTTTGTCTCAGACAGGAGAGTTTGCCTGGCTGCAGGCGTCGGAGGCTGGCATGTGGTGTGTGGACCCGGTCACGGGAGAGGGCATACCTCCTGGTACAAATGGCAGCGCCCAGTGTGAGTGGTCGCCCCCTGCTCAGCCTCCCAACCCCTCCTGTGAGCCCTGGTTGTGGAGCCTGGGTGCTGGCTTCCTGTCCCTGAAGCTGTGGGAGCCTCTACCCTCACTATGCCTCAGTTTTCTCATCTGTAAGATAGGAGCAGCATCCCTAAATGGGGTCCTGAGAGAGACCCTTGGGCTAGGGAGCAGGACTGTGCTTTGCAGCTGAAGTGGGCGCCAGCACTGGTCACTATGAAACTGCGTGCTGCTGCTTTTGGGGGTGACCAGCTGTACAGCACTGATGCTACAGCAGGGCCCCCACCTTGTCCTCAGCTTCCAGCCCGGTCCTGCAATCTGGTTTCCATGGTGAAGCCGAAACGATGCCCCTAAAGTGCAAATGTGCTGATGTCCCTCTGCCTGAAAAGCCATCGTCCCTCCACAGGCCCTTAGGGCCAGGCCCACCCTCCTCGCCACGGCTCTGCGGCCCCTGCAGAGGGCCTGTATGTCTGGCCCTTGTATGTCTTTTGCTTCTCTTGTGTCTCTGTCTCTCACTCTTTAGGATCCAAGTGCAATAAACTACATCCAAACTTTTCAGGAGGGCTAGGCCTTCAGGAGTTCTGATTCAGCCCCTGTAGTACTAGTACTTCCTCCCTACACCCACCTGGTAATTCTTACTCAGACCACACACCACTCCCTCCAGGAAGTCTTCTAGGCTCTCTCTTCCATAGCTGAGTTCACTACCTTTCTATGGGCTCCTAACTGTCCTGCACATCTCCTATTGTCTTCCTTGTCACTCTAAGCTATCCTTTCTCACTTCTTAAATCTCCTAGAAGTCTCTAAGATCCTTGAGGGCATGCAGTGTGTGTGTGTGTGTGTGTGTGTGTGTGTGTATGTAATACAGAGCTGAGCAGCCCCACTTTTTGCTCTGTCCTAGTTCAATGCCTCATTGGGGAGGGAGCCCATACTAGGTGGGGTTCCCTGCAGGTGGTTGACAGGTGGGTGGTGGCAAGGGCTGTGGCCGCGATAGCGGCCAAGCCCATCTGGCTGGTCTTTGTATCAAGGCCCAAGCCTCTGTGAAGCGCTCCAGAGTGGAGTCCTCCCCAGAAGAGCTAGCCCAGGCTACACCCCAGCCTGCAGGGCAGAGGACAGCGGCTTTTCCCCGGAGCAATGTGACCTGGCCCAGGGCAGCTGCTGGTGTGTTCTGGACGGCGGAGAGGAGGTGCCTGGGACCCGTGTGGCTGGGAGCCAGCCAGCCTGTGAGAGTAAGATGTGCCCCTGGAGGGGCTCCCGGGGCTGGGGTAGGGGGATGCTCATCTTTCCTTTGCTCAGGATAGGGGGACCCCAAAGGCACCAAGACTGGGGGGAGGATGGGAGGGGGAAGGGGAAAGAGTGTGAGGGCTATGGTTGCAGTTGATCCCCGTGGTGTTGAGATGTGTATCTCCTTCTTAACAATGCTCAGCCCTGGAGTGAAAATGAAGGAGAGACTGTGCAGGGATCCACACAGCTGGGACCCCAGGAAGCCTGGGTGCTGGCCAGGAGGGGGGTTCTGGGTCTTGGTCACCCCATCCTCGAGGTGGGGAGGGACCTGATAACAGTATCTCAGTAGGGGCCAGGGTGGGGTCCCTCCCAGCTGGGCAGCTTCAGGAGTGGGTGGAGGCGTCAATTTGTTAATTTTTATTTCTAGTTAAAAAAACTGTTTGGATATTAAGTATTGAAATATATGTCATATATATATTAGAATTTTGAAGTACAGTATTACGTATTAATATATTATTTATCAATGACTTTTTTTTTATTTCTCCTGTACACTCAAATCACAAGACATGATATTCATTTTACAGTTTATGTGAGCAAGTAGGTTGAATTTCCTATCTGTGAACTTCCTTTCAGGACAATAAACAAGGACATTGCAAAATATTTATTACAGTTGGGGTATTGGATCTGGTGGGTTGAAAATACTGCAGTAAGTGATTCTGATTTTATTGCAGTTACTTTTCTTTTGCTGTCCTTGTTGTATTGCTTTATTTAAAAATTTTGCAGTCTCGAAACAATTAATTTGGCATTGCTGAGACATTTAATTAGGTCTAGAGATTTATAGGTAAAAAGAGAATTTTTGTATATTTGTAAATTTATATTTACATTTAATGAACAAGAAGGAGCCTTCAAAAGAGGGGTGAGCAGGTAGAGCTGCCCTCCGCGGAGGCTCCTTTGCTTTGTCCACTTCCTCTCCTGCTCCTGACTGGGGGTGCCCCAGGCTCTCCCCACAGGCCTGTTCTCCCAGCCCCTGCCTGCCCTGCTGTGCATGGGGCCTGCTTCCAGGTGGGACCCTGTCACCATCCAATCACTGTGGCCCTCAGCAGCCTCCTCGCAGGCAACACAGTAGGTGCTCGATGGATGTTTTTAAGTGGAGTTCCCTGCCCTGTGCTCTCAGGAGGAGGGCAGCATCAGCCTCAGGGCTGGATACAATCAGCCTTCAACTTCCAGGGCGTCTAAGATGTGGGAGCCAGGGAACAGACTGCCATGTCTCTGTCAGGAGCAGGTCTGGCAGCACAGCTCTCTCAGGGCTGGGAAGACCCAGTGTGACTCGGCCCTCAGGATTCCATGATAATAGCTCATGTGTGCAGAGAGCTACCTGTTAAAAGTGCCTTTTACATCCTTTACCCCATTTTTGCCTCCCAACGATTCAGGAAAATAGATGGAACAGCCTGTCTCCCCATTTTACAGATGGCAAAACTGGGGCTCACAGAGATTCATTAACATTTCCGAAGTCACCCAGCCTGGCAAGTGGAACAGCTGGCATTAACATGAGTCCCCCAAAGGCACTTCCTCCTGCCTTACTGTGGGGTATGGTGGAGAAAGCTCAGATGTGGGGCCAGACAGGCTTACTTGAATGTCAACCCTGCCACTTCCTTGCTGGGTGGCCTTGGGCTAGTCCCTTAACCTCCCTGGACCTCAGTTTCCTACTCTGTGAAATGGGCATGGAGAATTATATCTAGATTTTGGAGTCATTGTTAGGATTAATTCAAAATAGTCTCTGTAAACTGCTTAGCCTGGTGCTCAGAATGCACTCTGGGGACATGCCTGTCTCCCCACTTGCTGCCGTAGGACTTAGGTCAGAGAAGTTAGCCTCCCCATGCCTCAGTGTCCTCCCCGTGGGCTGAGGGTGGCAGGAGTCCTGCCTCACAGGGTCACAGTAAAGATGAAGTCAGATCCTGGGAGGCATGTGGGCCAGACCAGGCCCATGGCGCGTGAGCTCTCCCACAAGGGCCGGAAGCCAGGCCTGGTTTCCAGTCTAAGTTCCAGCTTGTGCCCCTAAGTAAGCCACTGTGCTCCTCTGAGCCTCCACCTTCCCCATCTCTTCCTCATGGCGATAATGGTTCCACTTTGGAAGCACTGCATGAGATCAAAAGGGGATGTGCCCACTCCAGAGCTGGCCCATGGTGGGTCTTTGGTTCATTTCAGTTGCTGCACTTCTCCTTCCTCCCCTCAGGCCCTTGGTTTCCCACAGCCATGCCCATATGCTGAGCACACTGGTGGAGCCCATGGGCTCTGGGGCCAGAAGGACGAGGGTCAGGCCCCAGCTTTGCCATATAATAGCCCTCTGATCATGCAAGGTGTTTCCCCCCAGTGTGCCTCAGTATTGGCATCTGTGAAATGGGGTAACGGGGCCGACTCCCCCCTCCCCCACAGCACTGTGGGAAGAATTAAATGAGCCGATATTAGTAAGACTCACACAGGGTACCTGGCACATACAAAGTGCCACACAGTTTAAAAACATAGTTTTAAAATAAATGCTCCCCTTTAGAGATACGGTTTTGGAGGTTCAGATGATGAAGGGTCTTCCCTGTCCCTGCTCAGGTTTGAGCCCACATGTAGGTCAAGCTGGGGATCCTGCACGAGTCCTCAGAGGGGCCCAGCTGAGTCACTGCGGGAAGTCACAAAGGGCAGAGGAAGGAGCAGGGGCTTGAGGTGCTCTTGGAAGCCCAGACCCCAGCCTCTGCTCTGACCCACGTGAATGGGGGACTCGGCCTCATCAGCCTCAGGGACTTAGGCCACACCACGGTGGCCTTGCTGATGGGTATCTGAGGACCTTCGCAGGTCCTCGGCTCCTGGCGGTTCTGCCTCTGCCCGATGCCCACAACCTCCCCTCCAGTGCTGGGGCCACCTTTGCTGTTGGAGGTGCCAGGAATCTTTGCTGCCTGCCTAGAGGTGGAGCGTGGAGGCTGTGCGGGATGGATCGCTCAGCACGGAGGGGTCCGTGGGCTCTCCATGCAGCCTGAAGGCGGCAGGAGGGCTGGACTCTTGGAGACATCAAGAGCCCCTGTAGCACCAGTGCTGAGGGCCCTGGAAAGGGTATGCAAGCAACCAGGGCGCACAGAGGAAGGCTGTCTGCCCTTCTCCAAACGGTATTCACTAAAGAGAGCATGGCCTTTGCCTTCGGGGGTAATGCTTAGATTCAAAGGGCCTGTGCTCAAATCTGGGCTCTGCCTTTCCAAATCCTCAAAACTCAGTTTCTTTATCTGCTAAGGGGGTGATAGTCTTAGTGCTGCCTACTTCAGAGGGTGATTTTGAGTAAGGTACAATTCAGTGTTGATCATGCCAGGGTGTCACCAACTCTAGAATTCATGGTGAATATCAGTTATTATTTCTATTGGAAGTTCTTCCTTATAGTGCACTAAATGCTATTTCATTGTTCTGAAAATGTTGATTTACGTGCTAAAATTTCCAACACAGGTAATAACACATTACTCTTATTGTTAGTAATAATAATGACTAACACTGATGATCCTTTATTGTGTGCAAGGAACTCCTCTAAGCTCTTTTCGTGCCTTAGTTCATTCTGATTCACCCCATCCCTGGGAGGCGGGCATCATTGCCATCCTTGCCATTTTATGGGTGAGCAAACTGAGTCCCAGAGAAGTGAGCTAACTTGATCTAGGGTGCGCAACTACCGAATGATCGGGCCAGGACTCAAACCGCAGTAGGCTGGCCCCAGAGCCCACAGGCTGACTCTCCCCACCCCTACGTACACATGGTACTTGGTAAATGCCAGCTCAGTAAGTCCACTGCAAATTGTGGTGCACAATCTTGGCTGAAGGCCATCCTTCTTATTACATCGGAGCCTGAGCTGCACCCCAGAGGTCAGGATGGGTCATTCTCCGTCTGTGAGGCCCCCATTCCCCTTGGAGTGCACATCAATTGCAGGTCTTAAAGCAAGGCTGTGCCCAAGAATCAGATAACTAACTAAAACTGTAGCCAGGTGTGAAATAGTCACACCGAGTGTCTGTTCTTTAATTTACTCACCCACTTATTTAATACGTATTCTTGGAGCTCCCTGGCCACCAGCATATCCTTTTCAGAGCCCTCAACACTGGTATTATAACGGCTCGTCGATGTCTCTAAGAGTCCAGCCCTACTGCTCCCTTAGACAGAGATCTTGCAGCCACACAGTAAAGCCAGGGGGGCCCAGGGAGGACCCCACCCCTCTGTGCTGAGCTATCCATCCTGCACAGCTCCTTATGTCCCCGATACTTCATGCTCCACCTCTAGGCAGACAGTAGAGATCCCCGGTACTTCCTAGAACAAGGTGGCCCAATGTTCTGGTCAGCATTGTGCCATGGCCTGAGTGACCAGGGGAAAGGCACCCTCTTTCCTGCTGTGGCTCAGTCCTAGTGGGGAGACCAACATGCAGATGGTCAGGACCTTGAACAATTGATACCAGGGAGGTCTCTGCTAGGAGACCTGAGGACTTGGAGCAAGGAGACCTAAGTGTCCTGGGAGAACCACAGAAGGCATTAGAAAGTTAGGGATGTGAGCGGAAAATGAAGGGTCAGAAAGGAATCTTCCAGCAGATGAGCAGGCAGAGAGAAGCGGATGTGGCTGTGCAAGCAAGGTTGTTCAGGGAATGACCGGCACTCCTGGGCCAGAGGAGATGAGAGTGAGAAGGATTGGGTCAGCAGGCACACAGGAGAATTGAAAACCTGTGTCCTGCTCCATTATTATTTCTTCCCCAGCAGCGGGGACTGTGCAGACGTATGAGGAGAAAGGCAGGCGATGGGCCTCAGCTGCAGGGAGCCTCGTGCAGAAACTTCAGTAGCAGTTCAGAGTAAAGATGATAAACTTCTAAATGAAGGAAGCACGGTGGGGATGAGGAGAGGCTGAGAAGGGGCGAGCCGCAGCCTGGGCTGATGCTAGGGCAGAGGAGGTGGGCCATCTGGGGTGGCCACTGGGACCACCAGGTGCTTGGGGGTGCCACGTGTTGACCTTGGGGCTAAGGAGCAGCTGCAGGCCTGGGCAGCACATGACAAGTTCTGACATGCTGGCTTCGTGGGGAAGGCCAGTGGGTAACTGGATTTAGAGATGGGAAGAAACTCAATAGGGTCTGAGCTGGAGATGAAGATACAAGAGTCATCCATGCTCAGGTGTTCATGAAAAGTGAGAGAGGGTGCACTCACCCAAGAAGAAGGTGACAGGTAGGGAAGCCGACCAGGCCAGCACCCAGCGGCCCGCGCATCCTGGGTGCCGGGCAGAGGCCGCAGTTGCCCCTCTCCTTCTCTAGGCCCACAGTGCACCCTGCCGTTCCGCATGCCAGATGTGGCTGGTGGAGTGATCCTGTGCGAGCGAGCATCAGGCCCAGGCGGGGCGGCCGTCCAGCAGTGCCAGCTGCGGTGCCGCCAGGGCCACTGGAGTGCCTTCTCGCCTGGGCCGCTGGTGTGCAGCCTCGAGACTAGACGCTGGGAGTCACAGCCGCCTCAGCCCCAGGCCTGCCAGAGTGAGTACCCTTGGGAAAGTCTGCCCAGCAACCGCTCCCTCCCAGGGCTCAGGGCCGGGGGCCTTCCTCTTCCCAGCTGCGTGCATTGTTTCCAGACAGCCAGGGCATCATGGCAGCAAGAGCAGGGGAAAGGGCCCACAGGTGTTCTCTTCTAGCAGGAGCAGGGGTTAAGCTTTCTCTGTGGCTTCTCTTGCGGTGTCTGCTCCTTGGGAAAACTGTCAGTATTTCAGGCTCTTCTGGCATCTTGGATAGGAATTTAAGAGGAAGAGGAAGGGACTCCAGTGGCCAGATTGATTACACTGGTGTCGCCGAGCTCCGAGCTGCTTGTTTGGCCTCTGAGAGGCACAGTAACACACCGGCCTCTCCAGGAGGCCCATCTGGAGACACAGGCTAATGCCTGACAGAGTCAGGCCACACCCTGCCCCAGGGTGGGGGCGTCTGCCTCGTGACTGTGGGCCTGTGCCCTGCTTAAGTGTTGGCAGAGCCCTTTTCTTCTGCTTTCACACTGAGCCCACTTCCACACGCACATAAGCGTGAGGCAGCACTGGGCTCCGACTGCATCTGCCTTGGCAACGGCCATCCACGGTTACAGCCAGACAGGGCAGGGGCGGATGCTGGGACCTGGCACCGGGTCCACCCAGTGCACTGGGAGGGGTGTCCACTAGAGAGACAGGTCCTAGACTGACTGCCACAGGGCCCTGGGTGGCTGGCAGAGTGTCAAAGGACTGTTGTAAAGCATTCTGGAATAGAGAATTATACCCAGAAGTTCAAAATATGATTTGGACAAATAAATGGCCTGTTTTCCTGACTATGACCTAGTAGCTTAAGCTGAAATGAAGACCAGTCTGGTCACAATTAGATCTAGATCAAGGGACTTGGGAGAAGAGTGGTGTGGGTCTTGAGCTCCTGATGTTGAATGCAGGGCCACTGTGTATGACTGAGCAGGTTGTGCACTGATCAACCTTAGAGTATGCCTTTCCCATGATCTATGGTCTGTACTCTTAACTGGTAAAACCACATGGAGTGGTTCTGTGTGAATGCAGCATAGTATGGAAGATTTTCCAAGAAGATTGTCTAGGACCTCAAAATGTAAAGCAGCTTGGTTTAGGGGCCAAGGCAGGACTGAGCTTGCTGTGTGGGTCTCAGTAACTTCAGAGACAAGCCATCATACTTGGATGTATTTAGACTCTGGGGATGACAAAGCAAGATAGCAGTGCCTGTACATTCCAAGCTAAATGGAGAAGGGTTATTTTTTCAGAGGAAAATCCAAAGCAAGGAAAAGAATGCCACAGGTCTGTTGCCTGTGGCTGCTGACCTCTGTCACTTGCCTATAGGGCTCCAGCCATGGCAGACCCTCCAGACCCAAGGACAGTTCCAGCTCCAGCTCCCACCCGGCAAGATGTGCAGTGCAGACTATGCGGGCTTGCTGCCGGCTTTCCAGGTCTTCATATTGGACGAGCTCATGGCCCGTGGCTTCTGCCAGATCCAGGTATGTGCCTGGCTTTCCCAACAAGTGGAGACTTGCACTGAGCTCAGGGCCACCTCACGGTTCAAATGAACCCACAGTTCAATGGGAAAACTGAGGCCCAGGAGGAAAAAGTGATTGAGTCAAGGCTAATTACACAGCAGCAGAGGTGGGATCCCCACTTGTTACTGGTCATGCTTTCTGCATGTAGATGTCACATCACACATGTGCTGAGTGCTTATTATGTGCCAGGACTGTGTACTGTTGGCATGGCTTAGCCATCCTCACAGGGCCTCTGTTATGACTGCCTTCTGTGGATGAGGACGAATTGGCCAGAATCGCAGGGCTAGGAAATGGCAGAGCCAGCTGACTGATGTGCAGATGGAGCTGCGACCATCCCGTAGAACTGTCACCACGCATGGAGGAGAGCAAGGGATGTGGAGCAGGAAGGCTGCGACATGGTGATGTGCTCCTTGAACTGCTGTGCAGGACACGTCCCTTAAGAAACCTGGGAGGAGGCATTACAGATCCTCCCAGAAGGAAACTCTTAGATGCCAATGGGAAGGACACAGAACCATAGATAATGCACATCAGAGTTTTTGGCAAGGGTTTTTGTGACTTGAAGTCACAAGTATTTATAAGAGGGAAACATCAAAAGTCAGGTAAGTAAATCCATGTTCTCATCAAAGTTTGGTAACTCAGAGCAACTCATTTGTAGCACTTCATGTGAAGAATTTTGGAGAAGACAAGATTTCCACAAAACCAAATACAGAGAATATTGGTTCTAAAACAAAAAAACCCATATTGCCCAGTTTTCTTCAAAGACATGTATTCAACAACAATAACAATAATACCTATTAATTGTTGAGTGCCAGCTGTGTTCCTGGCATGATGCTAGAATTTCTACATTCCTTATCTCTAATTATTACAGCTCCCTGCTCAGTGGGCATCATTAGCCCTTGACTTAAAAGTGAATTAACTAAAGCCCAGGGAGGGTCAGTTGACCAAAATTTTGCAAAGCTGAGTAAATCCAGGTCTGCCTAGACTCTCTCTCTTCCTCCACTTCTGCCTCTCTGAGTTCCATGAGCAGGTTCTCTGACCTGGGAACTTCGCTTTCCCTAGGTGAGGACGTGGAGTGAACAGCGCCTTGTTCCCTGAGGAAGGGTGGAAGGGGGATTATTGCAAGTTACATAAGCCAAGTCTGTTGTCTGGTGTGAGCACAACAAATCTGGCTCCGTTTTCTGTGTTACTGAACTGAGGGCATCTGTCTCCATGTAGGTGAAGACTTTTGGGACCCCCATATCCATTTCAGTCTGCAATGACTCCACGGTGCAGGTGGAGTGTCTGACCAGGGAAAGTTTAAGAGTCAATGTCACGTGGAAATTGCGGCTGCAGGATGTCCCACCAGACTCTCTTCCTGATTTGCTCGACGTTGGTATGTTTTCCTGCACTGCTGCCTTGAGGAAGCCATGCAGCTTCTCTGAGGCCCGGTTTCCTCGCCCACCAAATGGAGCTAGTGAAGCCCATAATGCCTTGCCATGAGGATCTGGTCAGAGAATGATGAACCTTACCAGTGGGAAGGGCTAATTGTTAGAAAGTATATCAGAGTGAACAGCTTTCTGGTTAATAGCTTACGAGAGTTAAATGATGTCACTTACTGTATTTCCTTACTGACATTCCTGTATTTATGTGAATGTTTTCAGATTCTCTCTTTTTTCTGGGCACAGAGGGAGATAGGTATGAAGAGAATGGATTAAGGGAGTCTATTGGTATATAATTTATGTCCTGCACACGTTCAGTTATAAAACATCTCAGACCACTTACACTATTTAAGCCTCTTAGTACACTATTTAAGACAAGGCAATTAGGATATGGGCGGGTGAGAGAGTAGATGGATCTAAGGAGGAGAGAGTGCGTTTTACCATGGTACTGCGAGCCAGGCGAGCATGTAATCCATGAGTTTCTGACCAGAGGGTGGGGAGCAACTCCAGCTTCTCTTCTGCCATGCAGTGGCCGAATGCCCACGGTCAGTACTGGCTGGGGCTAACCCTCTGTTCTGTGAGGAGGAACTTCTGGAAAACGTTGCCAGAGTGTAACCCAGGGGGCAGACTGCATCTGTCATCCTGAAGTCCTTGTGGCAATAATACCACCCAGAGCGTTTTGAAGTAGGGGTTCCCTTTTCGTCCTCCTCTGAAAAAAGCCTGGATAATCTGGATTTGTTTAAAGCTGCAAAAGGATGAGATGTTTATTCCTGGTGCCAATGCGATGACTACGGCTTCAGGGATGACCTCCTAGTAGCCTGTTGTAGCATGAATGCTTGCTTCATGCTGGGATCTGTCTCCTAGGAAATACATTTCAGTAGGAGGCCTTCTCAACACTTAGCTCAACACTGATGCAGGAGGCCATGTTGCCCCCTGGCGGCTCTGCCTTCTCTTTGAATGGCTTATTGGTATATAATTTATGTCCTGCACACGTTCAGTTATAAAACATCTCAGACCACTTACACTATTTAAGCCTCTTAGTACACTATTTAAGACAAGGCAATTAGGATATGGGCGGGTGAGAGAGTAGATGGATCTAAGGAGGAGAGAGTGCGTTTTACCATGGTACTGCGAGCCAGGCGAGCACGTAATCCATGAGTTTCTGACCAGAGGGTGGGGAGCAACTCCAGCTTCTCTTCTGCCATGCAGTGGCCGAATGCCCACGGTCAGTACTGGCTGGGGCTAACCCTCTGTTCTGTGAGGAGGAACTTCTGGAAAACGTTGCCAGAGTGTAACCCAGGGGGCAGACTGCATCTGTCATCCTGAAGTCCTTGTGGCAATAATACCACCCAGAGCGTTTTGAAGTAGGGGTTCCCTTTTCGTCCTCCTCTGAAAAAAGCCTGGATAATCTGGATTTGTTTAAAGCTGCAAAAGGATGAGATGTTTATTCCTGGTGCCAATGCGATGACTACGGCTTCAGGGATGACCTCCTAGTAGCCTGTTGTAGCATGAATGCTTGCTTCATGCTGGGATCTGTCTCCTAGGAAATACATTTCAGTAGGAGGCCTTCTCAACACTTAGCTCAACACTGATGCAGGAGGCCATGTTGCCCCCTGGCGGCTCTGCCTTCTCTTTGAATGGCCCCATCACACACATTCTTTCACATCATCCTCACCAACTGCAAAAGAGGTATTCCCAGCCCCACTTTGCAGATGGGGAAACTGAGGCTCAGAGATGCTGGCTTGCCAATAGTTGAGACAGTTGTGTATCTGGATGATGCACCTTAGATTAGTGATTGAGATGTGGTGTCCTACACCAGGGAAGATCATCTTGATGCCACAGAAGTGACAGGAGCCAGACCTGTGCTGAAGTCCTCATTGTGCTGCTGACTTCTGTGTGAGGTTGGGCCAATCAGTCCTGTATAAAATGAGACACGGGGTAATGCCTGTGTCTCCTCTGGGCATGGATGTTGTAGGCAGCTCTGCTCTTGATCCTGGCTCTTACAGAAAGAATAAAGAGATGACATTCCTGTTTCATCCTGTGTCTTACAGAGGAGGCCTTAGTGGGCAAAGATCTCATTGGACGCTTCATAGAGCTGATCCAGAGTGGAGTGTTCCAACTTCATCTGGATTCTAAGACGTTCTCAGCAGACACCTCCATCAGCTTCCTTCAAGGGGACAGCTTTGGCAACTCTCCTAGGACATGGTTTGGGTGCTTGGAAGGATTCCACCGAGTCTCAACCACCAGCAATGCCCGTCAGGACCCACTGGGCTGTGGTAGGTCCCCCAGACCCCAAGCTGAATAATAATCGCTGCTATTATTCAGCCATGTGAGGCTGTGGGAAGGGCCACCAGGGCTCTGGGAGAAGTCGCTGTATGCATACGGAGTGGAGAATCATTCATCCTCTGTGTGTGGGCATGTTGTCACCATCTGCTAGGTAGCTGCTGAAACTAGAGTCACAGATGACATGAGGAAGGAGAAATGATGTTTGAAGTTACCCTTCTGCTTAGTTCTTGACAAGCCTGGGCTCTGCGACCTGGCTTTGTGAAGAAGGCTGATGTCCGCCTGTGTGCTCCATGTCCCTCCTTAGTCAGATTATGGCGATTTGGTACTCTCCACCACCCCCACACAGTCACTGATCAGCCCAGGGCCTTCCCACTTGGGAGAAGGGGGTCCTGGTGGAGGCTTACTGGGGCTGCTCTTGCCCTTACGCGTATGTAGGGCTGGAAGTCATTTTCACTGGAATGCAGCTGCAAATTCCTTGAGTGGAGGCTGTTTCCTGTAGCTACTGTAACAAGTGACCGCCAGCGTAGTGGCTTAAAACAGCAGGCATTTATTATCTTACAGTACTGTAGGTCTGAATTCCTACACGGGTCTCACTGCTAAAACCAAGGTGTCAGCAGGGCTGCATTCCTACTGGAGGCCATAGGAGGGACTCTGTGTCCTTGACTTTTCCAGCTTCTAGATATTGCTCACATTTCTTGGCTTGTGGCTTCCTTCCTTCATCTTCAAAGCTCGCAACATTGTAGCTCTCTCTGAACAGCCTTCCATAGTCACGGCTCCCTTGGGCTCTGTCTTCACTTCTAAGGCCCCTTATGATGACACATGGCTGGACACCCCAGAACACTCACTCTCCTTCAGGTCAGTTGATTAGCCACCTTAATTCCACCTGCAACCTTAGTTCCCCTTTGCCATGTAACCAAACATATTTACGGCCTCCAGGCATCAGGACATGGATGTCTTTAGGGGCTATTGTTCTCTCTGCTACCAAAGATTCCAGGGTCTCGTGACGAGAAGTCTTCCTCCCATGTGGCATGGAACAGAGAAGCATTTTTATAGAGCTGAAAACAGAAAAGACGTTTCTTGGTTATTTGTTTTTCCATTATTTATATTGGTTGAAACACAAAAACTACTTGGCCTTTCCTTTTATGAAATCCATGCCAAGTTCTAAACTCCATGGTGGATTTAAGATGCAGCTAAATCTTAACACAGAAGCCAGAAACATGACCACTTCCCACTAACATTTATAGAGGATTTTGCAGTTTATGATGCACTGTTACAAATATTTACCTCTCACAATAGCCCCCGGTGGCAGGCAACTTCCCTGCATGACAGATGAAGAGCTGAGGCTCAGATGAAATGAGATCATGCAACTGTAGTGCCCAGAGCAGGGCTGTCTCAAAGGAGGGCCTCAGGTTCATGAAACCAATTATCCGTGGGTGAGTAACCCTGGGGCCTCTGGAACCAGAGCTCATGATCTCTCCTCCTCATCAAAGCTGCCCAAACAAAAAGGACGAGAAGTGGGAGGAGGGGTGGATGGTGCCACCCGCCAGGGTAGGTGAGACAGGGCCACAGCAATGACGGTGTTCAGAACACCCACAGAGGAGCTTTGGACACAGCCGACAAAGGCTGATTTTAGTAGGTGTGTGTGTGTGTGTGTGTGTGTGTGTGTGTGTGTGTGTGTGTGTGTGTGTGTGTGTGTG